AACGGACTGAGTGAGAATCGATGCTTTTGACAGTTTTGGTGAATGTTAGTACTGTTAACAGCAATCAGTGCTAGAGTGAACTGTCTACGCACTGCTAAAGTTCAAAGCTGTAGCAAAGAAGCAAGAAAGCATCGGCTCATCAAAGGGAGGAAGTTTTGCAGAAGCAAAAAATTCAGTCAAAATGAAATTTAATCAATGATCATTCTATTTTGATTCTACAGCTGAAGAATGCAATTTGTGAATTCTAAATTCTCAAATTTTAATCCGATGAAGTGTGTGTAACTTCATCAAAACATTTGCAGCAGGATGGAAAAAGGATTTCTTCTGGGACAAATACTCAGGCACCAATAGAAAATAATTGCATGTGATGAAGGCTAGCGTGACAGTCCGCTTTCATTTCTCATTATAATTGCAGGGAATTTGAAGTACTTATCAACAAAAAGGACATAGGTTTATCTGAGTGCAAATCAATTTTCTTTCACAAAATTAGAATTATTGCTTGGTAATTTCAAATTATTTCCTAATTTTTCCATTCATTTATTTTTATTCATTTATTATACTCTTCTCATGCAAATCATTTTAATATTCCTTATTTCTATGTATATTAATGAAAACAAATGGCATTTTAAAGCATTATATTATTCTGTCGTTTTCACCATTTTATCTTATCATATCATTATCTCAGCTCTGAACAGCAGTTCAAACGACTATGGCTATGCTTAGATTTTAAAAGAATTGAGATAATAACAGTTAAATTTGATTAATGGGCTGGAATAATTATTATAGCCCAGCTATTTAAATCTCTGTCTTGACCATTGATTACCTAAGGGAATTATGATGTCTGACATTTCGTAAATTTTTTCTTTTAATGTGAATACTGTACGCTTCTAGTGTTTCACAAAAGCAAATGGAAAGTTAATCGATCGGGCACATCTCCAGTAAAAAAGTTAGTGTTACAACCTCATTCGTTTGTGTGCGAAAGGTATCTATTCATATGAGTATTGGCCAGGTAAGGCTAGATTAGACGGACTTAATGGAGCGTAGATAGAGAGGAATGTTCATTGATTCAGAAAATATATATCCAAAAATGTTTGATATCCAACGGAAGAAGTAAAGAGCAGGAAAGTGTGGTACGTGGTACACCGTGTCCTAGGACAGGAAAGTTGGGAGAGGCAGGAAGAAACATATGGCTAGAAGTGGACACGAAAGCAATTATACGCTCTATTGTTTCCATTCAGTGCATTATAGGAAATTGTCAGTGAACGATAAATAGTTGATGATAATAATTATTATTAGTGAAAGGGAAAGAGAAGAGTTCAGCAACAGGAGGGATAGCTCGAACTCTTGAGGTTACTCGTGTCGCGCTCTTATCAGCCATTTGACAAGGGATCCGAAAACTGTCACGGCGAATCATTTTTTATCAGGAGGACTTTTAACTGATATGTAGAAATACGTGAAAGTTTTATAGCCTTATTTTTTAGACCTAAGAGTTGATTAATATTACTGTGCTAAATAACAAAGATGATAAACAAAGAAGGAAATGCCCGGCAAACATGAAAAGTTTCTCTGTTTTAAATCCTATAGTTAAGCCTTGACAGTGATTACTATTCATTAGAAACACAGAGAAATGAAGACTGATTGTATGAGTGCATATTATTTTAATATATACCAGCAAGCAATCTTGAAAGTATTCGGTGCGGTCTGAGATTCGTTTGAAGTTTCCGAGCACAGACATCGATAACGTTATAGGAATTATTGCAGTGGCTATATGAGAGTAGTATCTTTGGTCTTAAATAGTTCGTTGTACTTTGCTGAATACCTTATGCAGTTTCTGTGTTTTGTTTCTAAACTATTATAACATTTCAGTAGGACAGGTGGAAGGTGGCTGGCGAAATTGGTCTGCATGGAGCTTGTGCTCCGTGAGTTGTGGACGTGGGCTACAACGACGATGGCGCTTATGCGACTCGCCCATTCCTCAAAATGGCGGAAATTTATGCAGAGGAAGTTTCGTGGAATCTTTGAGTTGCGATACGCGCAATTGCACAGGTAAAATTTCTAATACTTTTCCTCAAACACTAATTCCACTAACATGAAGCAAGACAGAATTATCCATTGAAACCGGATGCTTTCCAGAATCGAAAGCCATGATAATTACTGTAAACGACACATTATGCTCCTGTGGATGCCTAATTAATCATACGGCTGGAAGATTTTTTGCTCGAACGTGCGAGGAAATCACAGATTGGACGTTGAAATCTCACGGAAGATTTCTGTATCTGAAATTAAAACACGACGCGACTACCAATCAATTTAGACTTGCAATTTATCGCGGTTTAACAAAAGAGGTTCATTCTCATCATAGAATCATGAAATTCCCTGTTGTTGAAGATTTTGACGTCAATTGTTATTTTCAGGAGTTAATTTATGATTCCGTAATAAGCAGCCATGCTCATAAAAGCAGTTTACAGTTCACTTCCAAAGATTACTTCGTTATTTCACTTCTGAAAATGAATAGCTCATCAAATATCAACTCGGGTATAGAAATAGGCTTTGAATGGAAGAATGGTTAGTCGTTATTCTATTCTGCAGCATCGTAAAATAATTCATAAATACAAAAATTAGTCAAATTCTGGAATTCAACCTAAAAAATCCCCAAATTTCATAAATGCGAAGTTTTACTATGGCCTTTTTGGAAAACTGGTGATGGGTGCATAATTCACTGATACTGAATTCATCGGAGTGTGCTTGTTTACGAGCTGAATTACCACTTCGGTTAGCAGGTGTCTCCCAGCATTGTCTTACTTCCACTTTGAACATAAGACATGAACACGACATCTCCCATAGGAAATCTCAATGACGGCTAACTCGTCTCCATCAGACAATATTCCACGGATACAAGTTTGTATTTTAGATCGACTGCAGGATTTATATTCAGTTTGCTTTATTGCAGCAACCGATCATATGCTGTCATCAATTACAACACTGACATTGTCACATTCCTGCATGTTTTGTCATCGTGATTTGTCATTCCTCCTATCAAGTCTATTCATTATTTTAATTATATCTCTTCCGCCACTTCTGTGCTCCTATTCTACCATATCGGTTATTCGAAAAACAAAATGGAAGCGAAATCAACAATTAAGCATCGGTAATTCGTTGGACGAACCCAGGTATCTTTTTAGTCAGGAATTTCACCTTCTTCACTAGTCAAATATGTCTAGTCGAATAACTACTAACTGCACCTGTAGCTTACAGTGATATTTTTGTGACAAAATGTGCCTTGTCGATAGATTTTATGCTCACTAAAATTTATTTCAGGCCTGATGTGAGTATGGTACAATCCGGACAAACAGACACTACAGAAATCAGATCAAACAGAACCATCGTCACGAAACGTTCTATCGGTATACAGCTTTCGGCATCATCGACTCCACGTTTCCCCCGCGAGAAAGGTTAAAATTTACGAAAAGTCAGAGTTTGTTATGCCATCACCAATAAAATTTTTAAACTCAGAATTTTCAAGATTAAAAGAAATAAAGTTTAAATGTTCCTGAAAGTCAGTGATTACTTTAAGTGTTATGGAAAAATACATCCTGTTCTGTTAAGGCTATTAAACATTAAACATTTTGGTATCTTGTCTCTATTCCAGGTTTACGATGGTCTCGAACAACTAATTCACCACAAATTACACCACGTAACGACGAGCACTCATCACTTTCATTTAATACCGATCACGATTTGGAATACGATTATTACGAGCCAACCGTGCCGGGTTCATTCCTTACACCATCTGTCAACTTCTACTCTGATATCGATGTTGAGCAGATTATAGGTAGCTCTCAGCTTTCCTATAGTCTGATATCGAAACATGATGCTCATACACAAATTGGAGATAAGATCTGATAATATTGAAATTTCTCTTTAAAAATGAGGAACTTTTATTGTCCTGTAATTCCTTATTGTTTGTACTGTTTTGCTTTGGCTACCGTTTAATTAATAATGTCCTGTAATGGTTTGCAGATTTTTTGTATTAACAAAAGATGCTTAGCTTTAATTTAGTGACATGTAGATTATCCTCATCACGTAACATATCATCGTGATCACATAACATATCATCATTTTCACCACATGACGTCACTGTACCCGTTACGTATAACTGTCAGCTATTATTTTGGAGAAACTAATTGTTATAGCAATCAATTTTGAATAATTACCCCCTCCATTATTTAATTACATTTATCAAAAAACAAAACTACGACTTAATTTTTGTTTATTCTTTGCCATTCCATGTGGGATTTTCGAAATTAATAACAATCCGAAAATATTTAAACACTTTTCATTGAAGTGCAACCACTAAGTAATTTTTTAAACAAATTGTGTCCTTCTGATTTGTTGGTGTATCGTTTTTTCGCTTTTATAGCTTTCATTCTTTTAGTTTGTTTCCTGTGTGAAATCACAGTTATCAGCTAATTATCAATGCTAATATCTTATGATTATTAGAATCATTCATTAAGGGACAGTAACGACTGATAAAAGTAAACGTTTCAGTGATCTCATTTTGTTCATATAGTGAAACCGGAACCAAAAAATATTCTAGAAGAGAATGAAAGTTTTTAATCCAGTTTAGAAAATAATGAAAAAGACATTAAGGTACTGTTATTTTTGACACCAAAAAAATATAAAAAGAATGACATGAAATACTTACGACAATTAATAAAATGAGTCGTAGCAGCTAATTGCTGTTCCTTCGAAGTGATTCAAATTCTCAGTTTATGAAAAAGTGATATTTTAACTTTTCAAGTTAATTTCTTTACAGTTCCATTTGTTTTCCATTCACATATTGACAAATAAAAAGAAGCGAAATGGAGAATAAACAAAGTTATGGGAATGCTTTCAACTGCAACAAAGATTGTTTCGATCTAATTATTTATTCGATTCAGATACCAGCCAGTTTCCGTTTCATGACAAAATAAAAAAACGAGAAGTCCTGCCCACTTCCCTCATTTAACTTTACAACTTTCTACATCGGTAATTGATTTATTATATAAATTCCAAATATTCTTATTCAATAAGCATACTGCTCCACCTCCTCGCTTTTTCTGTGATTCCTAGAAAAAGAACATTTTGCTGATTTTTTAAAATTATTTGCACTGATCCAATTGAAGAATGTTGCGAGGATTCTGTTAAAAATTGCTTATCAGTTCCCCACTTTATTGTGATTTATTCCCTCCTGAAAATTCTGAAATCCAAAATTATACTTGTGATAAGAGCTCATCTTGCAATTGAACCTTTCTCGCAAGGGCAGCTTGAGACTTACATTCCATCCAAAATCCCATACTTACCTGCCTGTTAATGTCACCAATGCATACAAGTGGTTTTGTCTTGTTTTCGGCAATGGCCCACTTTGAATGATCTCTGTTGCTGGCAAATTTGTCACCCGCGACATTCAATTCCTTGACATTTATTACCTAAGGTAATTGATGGAAATTAATAGAAGATAATATGCGTATTTGATTTTCTATTATTATATAATTTTCTCAGAACTTGTCGTAGTATTCTTACAACGTCATTTCTTTAAAGGAATGTTGAGTGAGTCGCTTAAATTCGGAAGTCGAAAATCTAAGTTGTGGATTCTATTCGTAGAGTCAAAGTTAGATGAAATTTAATTTTGAAATCTAAGTGAAAATGTAATTTCTGAGCTTACTTTATATTTAGTAGTGCATTCCGAATTTAAGTCTTTTGCAGCACCGTTCATCCATGTCTCAGCAAAAAGTGATACATTCATTTCTTTTGCAATCAAATCCAAATAAAGATCTGAACAAATCAAATTCAAATAAAGATTAACTCAATTTATAACAACTTTTTAGCTTTTATTGTTAGTTAAAGGTTTAAATCCAAGAAGGTTTAGTCATTTGAGATTTTTCACTTATCTTCCTGAGGTTTCTCATGTGCTTTTTTCTTTCCAAACTTTTTTCTCTTTCAGAAATTTCAAGATATTCTTGATGTTTTTCTTTCTTTTTATAGTCTGCATTTATTCAAAGATATCTGAAACGAATTGCAAAGCTATACCTTTGTTATATTTTCCAGTCTTTGAGAAAGCAAAGAAATCCACATTACCATTCGACTTAAAGTTCTGAAGCAACGATGACATATTGGAAATTCTTTTCTTTTTTAACTCTTTCAGATCTTCCAACAATGGGAATCTATTCAAGAAATTTCTGGGCACAGTGATACCGTACACTTCCGGATAGATATATCTCATCGCATTCGCTAAATTCTCGAAATTAGATAATTCCCAATTATAACTCTACTTGCGTCCAATCATTTAAATGAATAAGTTAAATTACCTCAGAACAATTAAATCCTTTAAAGTAATTACTTACCAAATACTTTGATGGATGTTGTTTTCAATGTGACACACAGAAATGACTGCCCATAAGTTTGACCGTTCTCAGCATATGAATAGCGTTTAAGTGAAGGAAATTTAGGTACACTATGAACAAGCCAGAAACCGGATGTGTTACCGAAAACAGCGACCCCTTTTGCATGCGCGCGGTTTAGATGACTTTTTTTTTCGTTAACTGGTGCTTGGTCATTGTAAAAGAGATAAAATAATTCCTGTAAGTGATAATTGTAATATTGATACAATAATATTAACTCGTATTGTTGTATGATAACAGTTATAAAGTTAAATTTTTCTAAAGGTTCGGTAGACAAGCAATTTTTGGAAATAATTTCAAGACGGCCAAGAGAAACTTGAAAACTTTCTTTCTTAGACTTCCAACATTTCTATTGTTGTAAATCAAAGAAGACCTTTTTTTTGTTATTCTTATTATCATAATATTGTTTAAGCGTTACAGCAATAGCATTCTTTGGTGATTTCAAATTTTCTGCTGGACCCCATTCTTTGGAATCATTATCAGCGTAATGAAATGTTACACCCGGATATGTCTGTGATGCCTTTTTGGGCTGTTTATATCCGACGAACCTGAATATCCTTTCAAATCCTAGCAATATTCTTTGCTCTCTTCAGAATCACTGCATCCTCACAAGGCTGGCATCCGAGGATGTTACTTAGTACTAAATTCAAATCAGCAATCGTATCAATTTTTTTGGTGTTGTTAAGCATAAATGTAAACTAATAAAAAATTGGTAAATCTAATAACAACTGATTTGTTAATTAATTAATCAGTTCGCTGATGAAAGTGCAAAAGAAAGTTCTTTTAAGGGGACGAAAACAAACCAATCAACAGATTTTCCGTTACGATTCTTGCAGGAAAATTGAGCCATTATAATATCGTTCATTGCAACTATCATTAACAGTCTAATCATTTTGAAAATCATTTTGTTCTGAATACAGAAATTTTAAATATTAATAAGGGCTATTATGGCGTGTTTTTATGATGGCAATGTTTAGTTTAAACAGATAAAAATTTTTTAGAAATATGTGGCAGAGAAAGCCGAAACGATGGGAGCAAAAGGCTCCGTAAAGTATTTATTTGACGGAATACGATTGAAACTTATAAATAATTCTAGTGTGACATTTTCCATTCATCTTACACCTAATTTTTCTGATCATATCATCAGCAGAATGTTATTAGCTTTGAAAATTGTTCGTTATTAAGTAGTGAGTAGAGTACATGAAATAGCAACAACATCGAAGGTAATTCGATTTATTTTTTAGCATTTGATAACAAGATCTAATTAATTTGACAGTGCAATTGGGAAAAAAAAACTTTGATCTTGAAAGCTTAACGAATGAACCATTTTGTTTTTCGGTTGTATCACTGCTGAGAATCCAGCTGATATGTGCATATCTCTCTTATTAGCATATCAATAATTTAGGTCATATCATCATCACTAAAGCATTCATTAATTTTCTTCTTAAAAATCATTTCATCTGCTCGTTTTCTTTTCCTTAATGACACCTCATCATCCTTATTAGTAGTTACATCAGCGTTAACACTTTTGAAGGCATTTCAGTGATCTTTCGCAATTTCAAGGATTCACAAACAAAAATACCTTAAGCGGTTGCACTGATAATAACTAGAAGTTTCCAAATCATTCAATAAGCAATATTCAGAAGTTTGTGCCTTCATCTCCGTCAACAACTTTTTCTTGTTAATTTTTTTGAACGATTGAAGAAATTAGGACTTGCAATGTAAAATTAAGAACTAAATGTTATTTTCACGAACAGAGGTGGGCACCCATAGAAAACATTTTATATTCGATACTTCATTAAAGGTTCTGATTGGAAGACATTTCGACCGCTCTTTTGAAATGTACAAAAAAGAAAATAACATCAAACAACCCTGACAATGGCATTCATTTTAATTAGAGTATCATATTCACTTCATACACAGTGTTTATGTTTAAGTATCAATTCATTTTCTAAGTTTTAACCACATTAAACTAACCAATAAAAGTAGAAACAAAATTTTATAAATTTTGTTCCGTCTTTCATAAATATGTCAGAAAAAGAAATTAAAGTTAAAAATGTGTCGCAACATTCAAAATTTATGAAAATATATTTTATAATCCGAGAAATTCTAACGGTATATCATCTTATGAACAATTAATGGAAAAGCAACAATTACTAAGTGCTGGCATGAGAACTCATTTAATAAATTATTCCGTTATTTTATTGCTTTGCTGCTGTGTTTGTTTACTGACGGGTGGATCAAACAAAAACGAAATTCACGTAGATCCTTCTTTGATAAGTAAACTGAAATTAATATGGTGAAAAATTAAATCATTTCCCATGATATGCTTTTTAATTTCAAAGCATCTGTTTAAATATGCAAAATTGCGAACAGATGAACCGCTCGATACGGTGATATTTATATTTGTTTGGTAAGAATATATTTTTCCAAATAGTGGGAAGTTTCTATTTGTTGATTCCAACTATATGTCTATTTACTCAACTTATCTTACGTAATAATTCTTCCGAGACGAGTGCTAATACGGCATTACACTATGAAGTCCCGGACAAAGAAATCATTACTGAGTTAATTTTAATTTACGGCATTTAACAAATACAAATGAAAAATGCCAACTATAGATCGATAGTTACTTAAATCTCTCAGCATGTATAATTTTCAAAAAATATACTTTAAAGCTTCCCTGTAATGTAAAATGTTTTTTAAAATTTTTGTTGCATCATTTTAAACTTAGAAGAAAAATAAGCAATCGATTTGATTACTCATTACTGAGCTCGAAATTTCATCTTTGTATTACCCGAATTCCGATTAATTAAGTGTGACAGCAAAAAGATTTTTAAGACATTGTCTTCTTTGTCTTTTCAAAAAGAGAAAAAAATCGAAATATTTGTAACTGTAACTTTCCCTTTCAAATTCTTCCCTTTTAGGCATATGCTTCTGTCGCAATATCAGTAAAATTTTATTAACAGTAACAAAGAAATATTTTAACTTTTCACTTCATTACTCCTATTTCAGTCACACTGAGCTAAATTGAGCCAAACATCCTACTGAATCAGTTATGTTTCTAAAGTTCATCTAACGAACCAAAGAAAAGAAAATCTGACCATGACCTTCTAGATCGATAACCTTTGTGTTGCTGGTGGTCAGTGGGGATATTACAATGAACATTCAATGCGTTAGGCTCAACGAGTTTCATTAGGGTCCAACAGTGCTCGCTTCCTTGTGTTAATCCTTTGTCATTGAAGTTAATCATCGCATTTTACTCATTTACATGTATTTAAATTAATAGAAGTCGCATGCGGCCAACAGCGCATTGTAATTATGGAGGGCGTACCAATCGGCGCAGTTCGTTCCCTCCATTCCAATAGATATTGTCGCCAGCTCCTCACTCACACTAATTAAAATATGGACAGAAAACGACTGCATTATGACGCGCAGTTGTCGATGGAGTGGATGCAACAATACCGTCCTCTTTTTACGTTTCTCATAGTTGCGTACGCGTTATTTGTTATTAGTGTGCGGCCAATTTGTAAAGGCAGAAGAAGCCAAGGCATGGCAACGATCATTTTTTGTTGGAACGCCTTTAATGCGTTGGCGGATATTGTCCTGCTTCTTGCCTTATTACCTGATTTCCTAAGTTCTTTTCGTCAAGGCTTCTACTCAAGTTTATGTCTAAATGCTGACCTTTACAAGAACCCAAGGTCGGGAAAGGCAATATTCACATTTCACATCAGCAAGATGTGGGAATTATTGGACACCGTACTTTTGATATTGGATGGTCGTAAAACGAATCATCTTCACGTGGCTCATCACATCGTTGTTTCCATTTCGATGATCTGCGCTTATCAGCGTATCGGTGCTGTGGCTCGTTGGATTGCTACCACCAATCTTGCTGCTCATTCCGCACTTTACTCTTACCTGGCAGCTCAAAGTTGTATTTGGAAACGTCGTACATGCAGCGCACGTGTAATCAACGGAATCCAGATGGCACAGTTTCCCATTTGCTTGTTTGGTCTTATCAAAATACGCCAATTTATAAATGCCAGAAAGAAGTGTGAGACAAGCTACAGTGGGCTATGCATTCTAATCTATTCGTCCTTTTTCATTCTCTTCGTTTCATTTTACGCCAACAAATACAGAAAAGATAGCATTGGTAGAGATTATGTCTTCTAAGATATTTCTTCATTGTAGCAAATTTCTGTAGATTCTGGCCAATAAAAGGTAGGTATGGCCAAGGAACAAAGATCCTTGAGATCCATGCAGGGATTGGATTGTCCTACTCCCAACCAACAATGTTTTCTCCAGCACTGTGACTTCTGCAAAATCATTTGATTTGTTTTACTTTCTTAGTCTTAGTGTCGTGAAGTAATAGTGGACAATATCCTCCAGCACTTGCATTGCTCTCAAAGGCAGTCATTGAGGTCGCATCTAAGTTTCTCACAACAAACTATTCAATTAAAAAGTGTAGACAGATTTTGAATACCAGATCAGAAGACGTAAATGTCGTGTCCCATTGTAGGTATGCAAAAATATCGAATGTCACACAGAGCTTCTTTCCAGTATTCTACAATTGCGGAGAAAACAAATCTTAGAAGCGTTAAATTCTACACGTGATTGACACGGATATCAAAGTGATGTATTTATTCTTCTTCACTAGGTAATTTATCATTTGACAAAGAAAACGCAGAATTCCCTTCGCATTCACACTTCCCAAAAATTAAGGCAATAATTTCTGGTGGAAGTTCAAACACGAAGAAAAAAACACTAAACTAAATTTCCACATTCCCACTTCTAACGCAAGGAACAAAATTCGCGATGACCTTCAAGTCTCTTCGAGATTTTATTTCTTATCTTATACCAACATTTGATATCATAATCTAATGCTATAGATATGATGTTCAACTGATAAGACCAAATTTCGGTAATATTTTTGGTTTGCTTTGGTAATTTGCTGGATCTTTTAAATCAACGAGGCCATTTGAACAGTAAGTGTTGAACCAAACCATGAAATTCGTGACTCAGTGAGATAATCGTGTTAAGATAATATGTATTAATGATGTGGATTAGGAAAGATCCTTTCAATTGAAGTGATTACAACTAATAAGTCAAGATCGACTCAAAATAGAGATGTTTTTTAACATTATAGGAAGGACCAAAGTAAGGGGAAGCTAACAAGGTATGTGATTTCACCACTCTTCAATTTGGAACATTTCTTTTATCACCTATCATTAATGCAGCAGTAGTTGCATCTCAGTAAAAATGTTATTTTTTTCACTTTATCTTCTAAACGAAGAATGGCCCTTCACTGCCGCAGTCCCATTTTGTCCGAAGGACTAACCACACTTGGCTAAAATAATCCATCAACCCGCAACTGTTTTATATTAAGTACAATTTTATCAGAATAAAATCAGACTTGATTGATGAGCTCCTAGATAGTTTAGTTTTCGACAGATGAATATCATTACCGGATTTTTAAAAGCTCCACAAGACGACCTCAGAAATCCATAACAATGATAGAATTTATTCTAACTTACAAAAATTTACTTTCAACAATCTTTTGGAATTAACAGTTTTAAGAAGCATCCATATTCACCTTGTATCAGTCACTCTACACTATACTATGATTGCAAGATCTTTTAGACATAGACAGAATGCTAAATGGACAGCTTTTTTACTTTTTAAGCATCTTTCGTGTCTGCAGCTCATCTTCTGTAAGCAACTGATAAAGGCGAATATGGATATTTTTTAAAACTTCCATAAGACTTTGGCATCCTTATCCTGTTGAAAATGAAAATAATACGCAAATATACTGAAAAAGTTATACAATATGTGAGCACGAAAAACTCGTGAACAATGAATAAAAAGTTTTGTAGAAGGGTCTTCTGTGTTATTTTGCTGTCAAAAATTACCACGGGCAGTGAAATGACAGATTAAAGTGTAAAAATTACAACGACTTCTGCCTAAAAATACCTGAACATGGAGAGGCATTCATCCACACACAGAAAGTAAAGTCGTAGCGACTTGCATCTAAGAGTGAAACATATTGATATGTAATCAAAAAAAAAAAAAAACACAGAAGTAAATTTATATTCAAAAACCTACACAACAAAAAAAATTATGATATGAAAAATTTCCAAAATACAAAATGCCAAATTATTATGCACAGCTTATAAGAGTATATTTAACTGGTGGAAGCACTTTTACGCTCTGCCCAAGAAGATGCTGTAGGCGGTGCTTCTCGCTCAAAAGCGCAGTAGCCTTCGTTTGATCTGAAAATGGTGATATGTAAGCAAGAAGTTATACGAATCGATATAGCAACTTCTCCATGCAAGAAGTTTAACAAGAAATGTGATAACACAATACGGATTTTAAAAGGAATTAGTACTATGAAGATTTGCAAAAGAAAAAAGAACAGATAAAAGTAATGAAATATCAACTGATGTGACTTATCTATGTGGTAATGATTTACTATTAAATGTGTGATTTATAAAATACCTACGAGTTACTACAATTTTTAAAACTGAAATCACTGGAAGGTTAAAAGCTGGACTTATTAAGTGCAAAATAAATCTACTGCTTTACAAGCAGCAGCATTATAAACTTCAAAAAATTTTTAAAGTCCCGACATCAAACAATGATCTTTTGTTAAAAGGATTAGATGTTTTACTTAAGTTACTCTTCAATAGAATACGAGTCAAATGGACGTTCGTGTACTGCCAAATGTACAAAAAAGCAACCTTGTCTCTGCTGGTGACGGCTGTCCGTTCAACTGATTACCCTCATGAACACTTGTATTCGCTGCAGCTGAGGAAATTTCTGAAAGTGACAAAATATTAAACATTTCCTTCAGCAAAAAAAGCTAATCAAGCACGCGATATACAATATTCGAAGCAATTAAAGTAGCAATAACCGTTGGATATTCGTATGCTTGAATTATTCATCATCCTTGAATCATTCTGCCGCAATGGTTCCCCTCGACGGTTCCGTCGCTTCTGACACCATGGACGAGCTTCATCATTGAATCTACATAATTTTCATTATAAATCAATACAAGCTGCAAAAACATAGGGCTTCTCAAGTAAATAGTTTAAAGATAAAAATTAAGCTATACCGTAGAACAAGGTCGATGGCATCACCAATCCGTTCCAGCGGTGGTTCCACGAAGAAAACATCTTCAATAGGCTCTAGCTCAACGTTTGGTATTGATAACATTGCTGAAATATTACAAAAATCACTACTATTTTCAGCAAAGTATAACTTGCACCCAAATCATTTTGAAAATAAATACTGAAAAGTAAAAGAAACTGAAAGGGACTTCTACACAATATAAAATACGCCGAAAGCAGAAGAGAATAAAATAGTCCCATGGGTACTATGTGAACAATGAAAGTTCAAGGAAATGTAAACTTCTAAACTTCTCTTATGAAAAAAAAATATATGCCGTTTTAACTTCTACAAAATCCTAATAACAAATACGGCTTCAAATAAAATATTTGCTCTTCTTTACAAGATAAATATTCCCTCTTTTTGCTTTCAAAATGCAAATTTAGTGAACTCTACAAAAACTGCGCTTCAAAGCTGAAAATGCGAAAAAAAACTACCTTTAAGTTCCAGCATTGCTTCTACGGGTATTGGTCCGGCTCCATCCATACGTGACTGCTTCATTTGTCGGACAATCATTTCCTCTTCTGATGGAATTATAACGACACATTTGCGCTAAAAGTTTTCAAAACAAGGTCGCAAATTGTGCAGAAGCAATAAATAAAAAATGTTGTGATTAAAAGACAATTTATAGTTTAAGTAATAAAAACAGACTGCTGAATTAACAACTGAAGGAAAGTTTTACTGAAACTCTTTTTTTTGCCCTGTTTCACAACACTAGAAAAAACATCGAATATCCAACAATAAGAAAGGAAATTTACTTGAAAATCTTTGAACTGAGATAGCTTTCGTCTTCTTGCTTCTTTTGAGACATTAGTTTGGTCAATGATATAATTTCTACGTCGCCTACAGGCCAAATGTAAGGAACGATTCAGCGCTTTAGCAATAAGTCCCATTATCATATCCCACCTACCCTATAAACAATGTTCTCTGAATACTAAAACACAGTCATTATTTTCAAAATCTAGTTGGAGATGATTTTTACCAGACAGAACTTTTACTACACATACTCAGCAATTTACCTGATGGACCCTACTTCTTGGAACTCCATTAACTTTCATTGCTGCAAGTATTGTATCAGTACTCAATAAAGTCCACTGCTCTTGCGGATGTTCACGAAGATACTGTCGTACCCAGGTTGTTTTGCCAACTCCTGGCAAGCCTACCATCATTAAAACCTAGAAATGTTCTAGTCTTATTCATATTATTTGGAGTTCAACAACACTGGTTCTGAATATTCAGTGATTAACCCGCTACGTTTCGCTTACCGTGCATTCGCTTTTGCTTGATGGTGGTATTAGACCGCGAACAAGCACTGTCCGGTCTAACTTGCTGAAGTAAATGAGTGAGGTGTCAATGCCTAATACCCCATTTTTCTGTAGTTCCGCAACTGACATCCATCCTTCACACTGACTGTCACCATAATTCACAGACAGTTTGTAATTCTTCGTACAGATATGGGGAAAAACAATGTCGTTTTTATTGAAATTGACTTCTGAAAAAGCCACTCCCAAATATTCTACATTCTTCCAGAAATGTATTTTGCCTGATGCCAAATCCTGAAAACTTTATGAGTAAATGAACAGTACTTTTCGCTTTCGTTATATAAAATGGCAAACTGCATTAAAAAATAAAACTTATTTAAAAACTTACCAAACATGAAGTTATAACGTCGCCAACTTGACAAGGTTCACCATAATCGGTGAAAAAATTATTTGTAGCTTTCTTCGCCAGTAAATCATATGCATAGGAGTGGGGTGCTTCTCCCAACTGAAAATAATTAGTGAGTTGGCGACACAAGTAGGACATGCAAAATTATCAGTTATTAACTATTTTCAAATCGTGCAATGGCATGGAAAGGTGGAAAATATCTGCTTAAATAATTATAATGTAAAATTTTTTAAGCTAAATATAGAGAAAAAAAATTACAATATTTGTAGAATTCTGAGTTGACCATCCCACGCGGACATTATGAGCATCTATCTCTTCGAATGGTAGATGCTTAATTGGCAAACAGTCCAACAGCTACAAATAGCTTTTTATTTGCTGTTAATTAAATGAATTTAAAAAACAATGTAAAAGCTGTAATAGTACTAATAAATCGAGAATTTGAAACGCAATTAATTACATATACAAAAATAAGTTGAGAATGAAAAGTTATGAGAAATAAAGGAACAGTGGGCAAAACAGATATCAAACCTTAATTTGGAACATAACAGCAGGAAAATTAACTACATCTGAAGAAATTCGAATGCCATATGTCGACCTGGCCCCGCCCCACATCAGAGCAAAACCATCGCCATTGTCTGGATCGATGATTTCTTGACAGGTCTCACTTGCTTTAACGTTCAAATCTGCATTGTCTGAAAACAACTATCACAAATCTGGGTGTTAACCTAGTTCAAATTTTGATTGTTTCCAACTCCAATTCAAGTAAATTTGGAAGAAAGAAATCCTCTGAAATATGCAAGCTTAGTAACTCTAACTGTACAATAAATTAACTACAGCCAGCTATATGGTTAAACTGCTTTGACAACCGGAACCTTCAATTATTTTCAAGAAACACTAAAAGTATAGCTTTGTGCCACAACCAAAAATGCATTTGATGTTTAGAATGATCCTGCTGCTTCAGTGCTCCCTCTAGAAAGCTTTAAATGATCGAGAATCAGGTGAACCTATAATTGGGTTATGAATTTGCATATTTCACAACTTCAACAAAGCCACGAAGATATCACTAACTAGGTAAACTAAATCGTAATGTACAACTATACATGAATGAAAAGCTTCGCAAAAAAATTACAGAAGTCAACTTCAATTTGTTCATCACCGGGTACCGGTTCCTCTTCCTGTACTGCATTCTTTTTGGTGATTCGTTTTCGAGTTACACCTTCGATTATAATCTCATCATCTGAATCAGGTACCGGTTCTCCGTGGAAATCAGGTAACGGTTTATCTTCATTATCATCTTCCTCATATTTTTCGTCCAAAGGTAATTGTTCGTATTGCTGTTGATTTTGCTTTTCTGTAATGCATTTATATTAAGGACAAAATATCTGCTATCATCACAAAACCGTAAAGATCCCGATTGATGGATATGTGGAACGAAAACTGGGTAGTTCAAAACACTCTACTGATGGTACAGAAGCGTTGTAACTTGACAATGCTTATGGGAATGATTCTGATAACATGCAACCTGGACAAATACTTAAAATTTTAAAGCAACATCTACAAACCTGCAGATGCGTGTTCAGCTGCTATTTCCAATGACTGCAAACTTTTTAGCACATCACTTGCTTTTTGCAGTAAGCGTCTTGGATTTCGTAGTAAATCTTCCGATATATCTGGTTTTCTGAATGTAGAAACCTGACAATTCTAACAGCAAAAACAAAAGATATAGCTATTTCCCAATTAAAGATGCAGCTTGCTCACTTACTTTTCCATCTCATCTCTGTTCTCAATGTCGGCTGATATTTCTTTGTTCCTATCTCCAGAATGACTGCTGAATGTCGGAACATCATCATTCACTATGGCATATATTATTTTTTCGACAACGGACGCGACAATGTTCTCTTCGATTTCATTCTCAATTTCTGCTGGCAAACCAAGTGTGAACTAGAGAAAAAAACGACACTATAAAATGCGGATTTTTCACTACATAAAGAATAAATAAGCATTCATTTTAATTTACTAAACACATCTCATTAAATTACCAAACAAAAGAGCTAACTATAACTGCCTTGTACTCAATATATGTCGAACACAATCATGTATACAAGTTTTACGCAATCATTCTATTTGTACTGTTCCCCCTAGGGTTGCTTTTTATGAATTCAGAACAAATTCGGAATAAATTTAGGTGTGAAAATCACTTCTTCAACGAAATGAGTTGTATCACTCAGACCCAACATTGACTGCAGCGAAGTTGAAGCATTGCTTTCCTGAAGCAAATTATTCCATACTAAAGATGTTTCTTGTTTAATGCCTGCTGAATGTGGTAATTTATAGTTAGTGGTACAAATCATTGAAGTCCCAGACATTGTCGTATCAGTATGTTCCAGTCCAGTTTCGATTTTATCCGATTCACTGGTCATACGCTTCTCGATATTGGGAATTGTTAGATTTTCATCCAACACACTTGTCTTTTCCATCGTATTATTTTCGTTTGTATCAAGTTGAGGAGCAGTTGGAGGCGGTGGAACATTACCTAAACGGGCAAATACGGCTTGCAAAGCGGAAGCCATTTCTTTTATTCGTTCCGAATCAATTTTTGTAACTGAAGCAGTACTTGAAGTGCACGTCTCAACTAAGAGTGGAGGTTCAATCGATGTTTCCGACGGGCTCATATAACAAGGGATTGATGGAGGAGTCCTCATAGACAGTGGAGAATCGCCTGAACACGGAGTTGTTTGAGTCATCAGTGTTACTAAGTTTTCCTCGGTATTCTCATCTTTTGAATATTCTACTGCTGATGTGCTATCGAAAGCTGCACTTGATGTGGAAGGTATCGAGGCTTTTCTAGAACAAGAGAGAAGTGGTGGTGGTGGTGGAGGCGGTGGCAGCTGAGCCAACAAGCGTTTTTCGTCCATATTAACATCTGAAACTGGTGAACAAAATGAGCATGAAAATACGTTATCCTTCCATCATCAAACAATAAGAAAGGACTCTTTTATAACAAGGTTCCAATTATTTAGTAAAAATACCACAAATGCCTGTGAAGTAAGAAAAATAGAAAATATTGAGTCAAATATGATATGATCACATAAACAAACGACGTCCCAAAAAATAACAGATAACTGTCACATTATCGGTTTCTACCAGATTTTCCAATGCAGTAACACGTCTATGAGTAATGTACAACTCTCTCAAAAAAAAAAAAAACTGCAGTGTTAACCGTTAAGATATAACTTTCACAGTCCTCACAAGAAATGTAAAAAAGAGGCCGACAAAAATTTTTGAAAAGAAATAACAACAGAGGAGATTCCCACACCAAATTCTTTCGAACCATCAATTCATGCACTGGTATTCAACGTTTAAACAGTGCTGTTCTTGTAATAGCATCAAAGAAAAAAAAAGTTTCAATACAGCTAAAAGAACAAAAACAAAATGCTCTGACACACTCACTTTTGGAATGCTGCTTTACGACACGTCCCTCCAATGCCAGTTTAGAAGGAAGGACAAAATCGACATGTTTGCGCTTTTCTTGTCCTACAGAAGACGTGACGGATAATGAAATTACTGATGGAATCGCGTTCTGACGCCGTTTTTCCATCTCCAGCTTCTGCCTTTCAAGAGCTCTTTCCTGTTCTGTTTTATATTTGCTTGACAAAAGTTGGGCCTAAAAGAACTTCACAACTATACGGAAAATACTCATCACCTTCGATAGGTAGAAATAACTGACCATCACTGCTCCTTGAGTGTTCCATTTATCACTACTGATGATAAGGTGAATAAATTATCATCCTTTACAATAAACAGAATTTTACCTGCTTGTCGAAAATAGTATCCAATACATCAATAGGTGCTTGCATCCTTAACGGAATTTTTTTACGGGTAACTTGGTCTTTTGACTTCTCAGTATTTGGTGACGATAGTGGTGGAGCAAATGGACATTTTGTTTTTTCCTAAAAACAAATTTATATATTGAATAAATATAAAGGTTACAATGAAGATATATATTTCATCCCAGTTTTAAGTGCTGTCTGGTTGCACATGCAAAAATCAGTCTAATTTTCTGAAAAAAAAAAAAAAAAAAAAAAAACAATCTATTGCCTTCCTTTTCAGTTATGCAAGAACTACAGAGTAAACAACATACCACTTGTGCTGCAGAGACCAGTGTTACATCAGCATGTACTTTTCCATCTTTTGCGATTAAGCCGGTGGAAACAGGTGGAAGAGCTTCTTTCTGCTTCAATTCCGACGTTCTTCCAATGTTTAAAAGATTAGTTTTGAACTTGATCTTGATTGAACCCTTTTGAACTAACGTTTTGGATGGTTTCTCATTCATATTGACAACGTTTACTGCTTTTGATAACTCTAAAGAAGAGGACTTCAAACTCTGTTCTCCATCATTCCTCTCATCTTCCTTTTCACTTATTTCACCCTTCTCACCCGCTTCATTTTCGTTTTTACTGATGTTATCGACAAACACATATTTTCCTTCAAGTAAACTTTTTCGAGGTTTCTTCCCTCTTCTTGTTTTGTAAAGCCATTTTAATTCTTCATCATCACTAGAACTAGTCAGTTCTTCAACCATTATTTTTTTTTTTCCATGTTTCGACCCCCGATGTTTGCCTTCATCCAAAGACGTCATCTTTTTTGACTGAAAAAAAAAAAAAGATACTTCAAAAACCGCAAACAACCAAAATATGTTTGAAAAGAATGGAAACTGATTTATGTTAAGCTCCGATCAAACGCTAATCGAGATCCAAAGCTAATGAGCAGCACTTGGTTAAATTTTAAACTACAAAAACACTTCAAGAATTTTCACTTCATATGGAACCAATTCCATTTTAGAATTTGTTTCATCGTTCGATATTAAAGGTTTTTCAACTTCTAGCACATGAAAAGGCTTTCCATGAACTACAGTAGTACTGGATATGGAGTGTGGCACGAAAGCCCTTTCTGCTTCCATCTGCACTTCATCAATCGCGGATATATTCTGAAAAAAAAAAAAAAAAAAAAAAACTAAATGTATCCAAAAAAGAAAGAATGTGATTAGTAAGCATTAATTACCATTTGTGGCATTGATGGTCTAGATATCCCGGATGGAAACATTTTTAGTTCTCCAGTAACAGCTATATTAAAAATAAATGATTCTACCGAAAGCTCGATAGAAAACGATTCTTCTATCAAATTGATTTCATCAATTTCTTCGCTATGTCGACTTTTCTTTGCTTTTGGGGATATAACAGGCTCCGAGTCCAATCCAGTTTCATTTTCATTTTCTTCACCCTGCAATAAGGCAAATCAAGTCTTTGATGAGACCTCAATGAAATTTTACAGCCACAAGAAGTTTATATAACTGTTTTTAAATCGACCTTCTTTGTTGTTAAAATAGATCCAGGAGACGATTATATATCGAAAGACCTTTTAAAAAGAAATAGAATTACCTCCTTCAATGACTTTCGTGCTCCTTTTTTTACAGCTTTTTCTGTTTGAGGTGGCGGAGAATATGCCTGTCGACCGTTACGTTCCGAAAGAACTGCTTCCTATAATAATACTTATACGTTAAACTTTATCATATATATATATATATATATATATATATATATAACAGTAAATTATAACACAGTTGTGGTATTCCAAATGGGAAGCTAGAGGACACTTTCGAATTTGGTTACATAAGGAGTCCAATTCGACACCAAAGCATTATACTTTCACTGAAAACCAATTCAAGCTATCACATCTACTTTTACTACTGTTATTACCACTGTTCAAACACATTGTTATCAACGGTGCAAGCAATTATATTATTTGTCACCATCTTAATTGCTGTCATTTTTTTTTACCACTTTAATTACTGATACCATGGAATTAAATATGTTTGAACTGTGGTAATAATAGTAGTAAAAGTAGTATCAATGAAATTTTCATTAACTTATCACAGAAGTATAATTGGAGCATCTACACAAAAAACTTCAAAATTCGACGAAAGTTTTAAACCTGCAATCTATCGGCGAGTACATTTCTGGTACCTGTCGTGTCAAGTCCTCTCTGTCTCAGTTCTCGACGTAATCTTCCGGTGTCATATAACTGTATCATTGCTGGGTTTAAAGAATCACTACCTATTGCGCTTCTTCGACTTCTTGTTGCCATTACACAGGAAAAACAGAAGAACTAGAAGTGTAGAAGTGACCTGTAACATCCGAGTCTTCATCCAGAAATCCCAAAAATACATTCTCTGAGAATTAATGCTGGCCGTTAAATTCAAAACGAGCATGAAACGAATAAACATTATTAACTACAATAAGCTTACAACACTACTTATATGAGAAACTTAAAAGATTCTAAAACTCCTTTTAAAGGAATTTGAAAGCGTGAAAGTGATTTATAAGAGGAATTCAGCTTATACCATCATAATCACTACAGATGAGGAACGTGGACCGCAACGTGACAATCTAAAAAATGACGGGGCGCAAAACAACAAACCTGCACAAGTGAGCAGTCTGGTCGCAATAAGCGCTTATCCGTGAAATAGTACTCGGGATGAAATGATAGCGGTCCTGACTTGTTTGTGCGTGGCATCTGCTGAAAACTTGTCAGCTGAGGTTCACGCAAGTTTGCTTGTACTTTGCCTCTCGTTTGTTCTTCAGGTTTCATGGAGATTTCCACGTTTCATGTAAATTGTTATCAGATTTTCCCTTTGAAACTGTCAGGGAAAGCAAGATTTAATTAATGCAACCTTACATGAGCTTATAGGAAGACTTTCACTTTACGTCGAAACACGTAAAAGTTTTTATCCTGAGGATTATGAGGAACTAAGAGCGGCATTCTTACTTCATTTGAAAACAAACGACGACTCTTGCTGTGCGTTTTATGTGACTTTTTGTTTTAATATGTGAAGTTTTCATTTTCCCCTTCCAGTCAAGTTTTTTTGTTAAAAGGTATAGGAAGTTTCCATTTGATAGCTTGCCACCTCATACAGGTATTTGTGGGAATTTTGTAACCGCTGAAATAAGGTCTTTGATCGACACATTTGGTCGGCAACTCCCATTTTATGCGAATTTTGGTTTTATACGAAATGAAAAACTAGATCTTGACTTGGTTTTATCTGAAGTTAGGATCTAGTTTTTCATAATTTTGCTCAAGACTTTCATTTCATAAAACTGCAGGAGATTACTTTTTATTTTTCACTTCTTATGAGGGTACAAGGGTTTTTGTTCTACGTATAAAAACGTATAAAAATTTTCGAATTTATATGTAGAATTTGTCATCTCATATTGTAGAATGCGAATTCAAGTGTAAGCCACTCGTGACCAAATAGTTTCTTCGATGAGTGAAGAAATGTGAACCAATAAAGTTAGTGTACGTGTTGTATGTGTAAAGAAATTTTGTGTTGTATGCGTGGAGAACTTTTGACCACGTTTATTTTACTCATTTCTTACTTCGTTGCCGTATAATTTCTTATTACCTCAGTCTACCACGTTTTGACTAAATTCAAAGTTCCAGAAGTCATGGTTGAAGAGAAGACTGAATCAACGTCAGAGAAAAAGAACCCATCAATGAAGAAAAATATAATGGATAGCAAGGAGAAGAAAGATGAGAAGGAAGATAAGAAAGGAAAAGATGAAATGGTTAGCTTGAATTTTCTTGATTATCTGATGTTTTTCTCTGATAAAAGTCCTTGGAGCAGTAGGGTTTTGAGTGTTATCCATTTTCCGAGATAACGCAGAACGGGGAGGAACTATGTCTTATTCTGTCGTTATGCTTATTACAAGAATAAATGCCTTGTGATGCATATAATCCAACATAATCTTTTCAGAAATCAGTTCTGAACAATTATCGAGTGAAACTTTGAACGCTCGTAAATTAATATTTCGATTTTTTTTCATTTCAGACTGAGGAAGATATTAAGCTGAAAGAAGACTTAGAAATGTTGATGCAGCGTTTGAATGTAGGTTTTCTTTATTATTTCGTCGATATTATTATTTCATTTTCATTCTCAAAAAAAAAAAATCTTTTTAAAGCGGAAATTGCAATATAATTTAATAAAAGAACTATAAAATAGAAGAAAATTTTTTATTAAATATCTGAAAAACGTATATAATGAAAGAATTACTTTAAAACTGTCAGATAAATGCTAATAAACATTTTTTAAAGCCCATATCGAATATCGAGGAAAGGATTTTTTCTAGGAAGCAGATATTTCGCTGTATCAACCCACGCTGGAGACAATGCGAAGCATTATTCGTGCTTCAACAACTTCCATGACATCGGTGCCAAAACCGTTGAAATTTATGCGTCCACATTATGCTACAATTAAAGAAATCCACAAGAAAATGGCTGAAGGACCTACAAAAGTTGGTCTTCGTTGTTGTGTAGTACAATTTATTAGGCTGAATCCAGTCAAATCCAGTCCAATCCAATCCTTGTTATTATTAAACTGCGATCCAGTGAAATTATCCAAGAATCTAACTTGGAGCTTGTCTGAGTTGGGGTACTGTAAACTTACATTTCGTGATGATTCGTAGCAACGATTATTCAATGAATAGTTATCTTTTTTGCATCCACTTTAGTAGAATAAAACTATTAAACATAAACTGTGCCTATTTCATTCAGTTTCCTTATTCGAATAATATTTTGTAAGATGGAAATTTATTTTCTTCACAGAGCTTCCACTTCGTGGGGTGGATGCAATCATGCAGTGGGCTAGCAACAAGTGCAGAATATCATTTATAATATGGATTCCTTTTACCACCTGTTTGTCGTTTTGTTGTACTACGCTCAATTTTTAATTTTCAATTGGTTACAGAGATTGTGTGCGGACATAATATCAGTGCTGGCGATGACTTCGGATAGCAAAAATGACTGTATCAATTATCGGATGATGGGAAGGCATGAACCAATTGGTGACTGGGGACATGAATACGTGAGGTGAAAGCCTCGCTTATTTTGATACATTTCAATATATCCATATATTAGGACTAGCAGATAATGTGGTAGATTAGATAGACTAAACATGGCTGATAAAATTTTCGCGAAATAGATCTATTATATTTGAATTTTATTTGAACTGAATTTTATTTCCTTTTTACGTTGTAGAATAGCACTTATAATTAATAGTGAATCCTACATGCTCAGACACTTAGCGATGGAAATGGCTGAAGAATGGCGTTCCTGCAGCGATGGTACCAATGTTCATAATAAACGTCGAGAACAGTTATTGACGCTAACTCGAGAAATTGTACTACATAATATGAAACATAACGCAGAAGTTGAAGCATGTGATTTATTAATTGAAATTGAAGGACTTGATCTGCTGTCTGAGTATGTCGAAGAAGTCGACCATGGTCGAGTTTGCTTATATTTGTTAAGGTATGTCATTGTTTCAGTAGTAATGTTTTAGAAAAGTCAGCTTTCCTTCTAATACATTGACTACAATGGATTAGCGATGGGAATCTTGAAAAAATTACCTAATTAAGATGTCGATAAGTCCGATTTTATTTATGAATCCTAGTTGATCACATGGAGCAGTGGTGAAAGATTTCTTCCCTATTTGTGCCTTGATATTTCCTGATCATGTGATATGGCATAGTTATTGCTGGATTTTGCTAAAATAAAAAATACCTTGGAATTACTGGATCAACCTATTTGGATCCTTCCAGGAGGTTCAATTTGTTTGGTAATACTCGTTTTCAGTTGTTCACCGTTAATGCCAGATCCCGATAATGAGATCTTGATCAAAACAGCTATGAATATCTACCGGAAATTTGGAAAGAACTTCGATGCTTTAAGATGTGCTATTATGTTAAATGCTGTCCCAATAATGCGCGAAATAGTCCTTAGCACAAAGGATATGTATGGCTATGCTTCATGTCGTTTTTTTTTTTTTTTTTTTTTGTAAAGTCTGTGTGTAATATACTTGTGGTTGGTATCTGTAAGCTTCGGGTATCTATCTGAAATAGTTAGAAATGAAACAATGGTAGGAGGAAAAACATTTTAAAAAAGAGCCTTGCAGATTGAATTTAGACATTTTTTTTTATAAGGCTGGACATTTTTTGGAAAGCTAATAAGACACAAATAAAGTAATTGTTCAAAAAAGTGAAGGCTCTGGTCAAATTTATTCATCTTTTTCTTAGATTGGAACAGAAACAGATGGCAATCTTACTGGGTCGACATCAAATTTTCCTTGATCTAGAAGGTGTTGAAAATGGCGAAAAGCTGATGGAATTGAATTCAAATGCTAATTTACATACATATTTTCATTCACTGGCCCGAGAACTTGACATTATGGAACCAAAAACTCCGGAAGGAATTTATAAAAGCCATTTAGAGCAGAGTAGTGAGTTTTCTGGTCTTTATTTTCTGTTTTGTAATGATATTTTTTTGGAGTACATTTTGTAACGATTCCTTTATAGTTGTAAAAAGTGATTGGTGAACGACATTGTCTACCACTATCAGAAGGATGAATTATTCACAGTGTAAAGATTTATAATCTGTTTTATTATAATTATCCTCCAGGACCGTTTGCTGGCTCATCCGCATCAGATAGTGTGCGATCAAATTTGGCAGCAGCATTTGTTAACGGATTTGTCAATACTGGCTTCGGAGTTGATAAAATGATGACGGAAGCGGAAGATGCAAGTCGTTGGTTTTATAAAAATAAAGAATACGGTAGGTTTTGTTCTAGATATTTTTTGAACACTTATTCATCGCTGCTGTCGTGTTTTGGTAGTGGATTTTTTGATTTTTAACTTTTTTTCTTGTAGGGATGCTGTCAGCAGCTGCAAGTCAGGGATTAGTTTGGCGATGGGACATCGATACTGGTTTAGCGCAATGCGATCGATTTCTTTATGTTAACGATGATTTTATTAAGGTAGATGAGTTACAAGTGATGCTGGACTTTGCTAAAATAAGTTACGAAAGTTATTTTCCGGTTATTGTGATGAAACAAATGTGGATTGTTCGGTTTTTCTTGCCCTCTTCATATCAATTCATTTATTTTTCAGGCAGGCACTCTTTTGGCAATAGGAATTATATCCTCAGGTATCCAAGATACATGTGATCCCGCAGCTGCACTTCTTATGGATCACATAAATAGTGATCGTGCGGTTATGCGAATTGGTTCTGTTTTTGGCTTAGGCTTAGCATATGCAAATTCGAAGAGGCTTGCAGTGTTGAAGAAAGAGGATGGTGGAGTCGTATATGAGCTTAAAAAGCTGTTACTGGATACAAAGCCATCCGCCACACCTGAAGTAATTTTTAGCCTTTTTTTTTTTTTTTTCTTTTTACTGTGGGCAGATGGCAAAAGCAATAGCAGCATAGTGAGTTAAATGAAATAATTTTGCAAACAGTGTGAAGGGCGTCCGTAGGAAACTCAATAAGTTTTATTATCACTAGGTGATCAATCATATCCGATAATTTTGACCAATAGTTTTGATTTTGATACCAAGTGGTTCTGAAATATTTAGGTAAAAGGATTAGCAGCATTATCAATAGGATTCATCTTGGTCGGTACTTGCGATCATATAACAGCATGTGAGTTATTCAATTATCTAAATGAAAAAACCGCTGTAGAAATGCAGGACTCAAATTATCGTTTCGTCGCTCTTGGAATTGCTCTAATTTTCCTTGGTACGTTATTCTCTGTGTTTGGATATTTTGAATGTTTTGGTTGTATGAGGATTGAAGGGTAGTGCTCATTCTGTTTTTTTCTTAGGTGCTCAGCAAAAGAGTGAAGTATTTGTTGAAATGGTGCGAGCATTGCCGGATCCTTTCGGAACGATGTTTTCAACGCTAATTGATGTGTGTGCTTATGCTGGAACTGGAAATGTACTGAAAATACAAAAGCTTCTTCATATCTGTTCCGAACATTATGAAACCAAAGAAACAAAAGAAGCGAAAAGGAAGGTTGAGTTTTTGTGTTTGATCGATTACCTTGTTTCTTTTATCCATTCATTTAATATGCTTTCCATCTTCTACTCATTCGCTTTCGCCTGTATTATTGCAGTGTTCTATTGCTATTTATTTATGCTTTTACTTAGCATTATTTTAAAAAGCGAAATTGGACCGAAATGTGCATGATTCAGGGAATAATACTTGCATATTAATTTAGTAGATGTTTAATTTTTTTCCCCTTTATGATAGGATCTTGATAGTGAGGCACTTTAAGATGAACATTTTCAATAATATGATTATGGTTGGTATGGTTTGAAATAGTTGCAGAATTTTTCATTATTTATTACAAATTTTTTTCTGATAGGAGTGAAGAAAATGAAAACGATTCAGACTATTTGATGTGTTTTGTGGTATAGGAGATTAGAAGGAAAAATTGAAAAAAGTCAGTGATTTCATTCAGATCAGCTAGCTTGTACTTCTGAAAAGATCTGAAAACATGAATTCAATGAATTATATCTCTGTCTTATAGTTCTCATGACTAAGAAGCTTGTTCTTCATAAATTTGCATTCATTATTTGTTTTTCATGGCCGTGATTAGTCCATTATTGTATAATTTAGACAAATAAAGAAGATAAAAGCGACATTAGAAAGGAAGGTGATGCTTCGAGCGAGAAACCGGATTATTCGACACAGCAGGCGGTTGCTGTGCTTGGTATTGGTCTTATCGCTATGGGTGAAGAAATTGGAGCACAGATGAGCTTGAGGATGTTTGGACATTTGGTAGATATTTCAAAATATCATGCTGCAAATTTCTTGTGAATTTCATTCTATGTTGCAAATTTTCGTTAAGACTATTGTCATTTAATTCATTCGTTGGTGCGAGTATTTTGAATAATTTGGTGATGAAATTTTCCAGATTCGCTACGGCGAACCAGTGATCAGACGTGCAGTACCGCTGGCATTAGCCTTAATTAGTACGTCTAATCCTCAGCTTTCAATTTTGGAATCGCTTTCAAAGTTTTCACATGATGCCGATGCAGAAACGGCTCACAATGCAATTTTTGCGATGGGCTTGGTTGGTGCTGGTACTAATAATGCAAGGCTTGTTTCGATGTTACGACAGCTTGCAAGTTATCATCATAAGGATCAGGTAAATAAACACTCATTTCTAATTATATCATTCAGTACCGTATGTGGTCTGTTGGTAATTGAACAGATGTTATATGCTGTTTATACATGTAAATTGCTTGCTCGTTAGATTGATCTGTTTAGTTTGGTTTTCTTTTCACAGGTATGCTAAACTTCTACGTAGTTTAGGTAAGCTTAATGTTGGTTCGTTTGGCTCAAGGTATGACACATATGGGTAAAGGGACGATGACACTGAATCCATTTCATTCTGATCGTCAACTTATGTGTCCTGCAGCAGTTGCTGGGCTTCTTACAATTTGCTACGCCTTTCTGGAAGCCAATAATTGTAAGTTCTTTTTGGTTTGCAAAAAAGAACGTCAGAGTCCGTCAAAATGTCTGAAATCTTGTATTAAGGCTTCAAATTATCCGGTGTTTTGCTCACAGCGGGATTGCATAATCGATACTTTCTTGAAACGGTTCATCATACCAATTTTGGATCATAATCTTGTTATGGTTTTCGGTGATTGCTATCACTTTATCAAATAGCTTTAAAACTTTTGGATATGAAAAATATATGTGTTTATTTATAGCCGTATTGAATAATCGACAACATTATTTGCTATATTCGTTGACTTTGGCAATGCAACCACGATTGTTAATAACTCTGGTAGAAGATGAGGTGAATCCAGAGAATTTGAAACAAGTAAATGTGAGCGTCCGGGTAGGACAAGCTGTTGATGTAGTTGCTCAGGCTGGAAAACCGAAAACAATCACTGGCTTTCAGACTCATACAACGCCGGTTCTGATGGCTTATGGTGAAAGAGCTGAGCTTGCTAATGAAGAATGTAAGTGTAATTTCTTAAAATTCCTCGAAGTTGTTTGACTGTTATATCTTAACAAAAATTCTGCCCACTTTTCTGAATGATAGCTTTCCTGCTATTTTTCTGTCCAAGTAGTTATTTCCTGGATTTTTCATTTAAATCACGCTTATTACAGACGGAAAATCCTGCTCATTTTGTTGTTAATTTCCGGCCTCCTTGGCCATAAATTTTAGATAATTCCTTGTTTAACTTTTTTAGAAGAATCACCAGAATTTCAAGGTCTTTTAGTACTTCGGGAACATAAGGTTTTTAAAAGACCACTTTACCCACTGTTAGGAATTGATTTCGAATATTTGTATTTCAACAATTTGTAGGTAATTTCGGAAATACCGCACTTTGTATATCGATAACTAATTTTAATGTTAATGTACAATTACTTGTTAAGTGGGTAAATCGCAGTTTAACATCTCGGAAATATTTCATTCATTGAGCTTCGTTTAGAGTTATTCATACTGTTTTACTTAATACTTTGTTTTCAGATATCTCGCTAACGCCATATTTGGAAGGATTGGTAATCCTCAGAAAGAATCCTATTTATGAAACTTCCACCGCAGAAATAAAGAAGAAATGATATATTTATGATTTCTGTATCATGTTGTTTTAAAAGTCTTCTGAATGATATGCAAGCAGGAAAGAATTATTCTAACTTGTTGAAATCAGTTTATTAATACATGAGTAGAAAGAGTCGAGCAGTAGTTCTCTAATATTCAATAGCGTTTTTCATGAGAAGATTGGGATTTTCATCATATAAGTGAAGAACTGTTTTTATAACTCAGTTTTGTTTTGTTGAAATGAAATCTTAAGATCTATTTATCGCTTTACTAACTTTGTGATGCTTTGGTAGTGAAGGGAAGATTTTTGGAAACTTGTCTCTTTCTGGCTGTGTTTTATTACCATTAAATAATGCTTTAAATAGAGCTTATAAGTGCCAAAACAGTTCGCTATTGATCCTGTCACTGGGAACTTTAGTGAATGGAGTCGTCGCTTCTCTCTACCATATTTGATATTTTTAGCATGATTGTTGTTCATGGGGAAAGAAGTAGTGGAGGATTAACGGCGAAGACTAGGAGTTCGATATAGCTCTATTTTTTGCTCTACTGCAGCTTCCCAGTACTATTACGTCGGAGTTATATTGCTGTTTGGATAAGTCAAAGTTCCAAGTTATTTGTCTGGAAAGAGTTGAATGGCGGAATCAAGTCCAGATGAAGTAGTTGATGGTAGTGCTATACTGCTGAGTAATGGGATTATGGGAATTGTTCAGCCGGCGGTGGATCGTCTAGACAGTCAAGTTCATGCCGCACGTGCTAGTCAGTATACTCTGAATATGCATATACGAGAACTAGCGCAATGTAAGTTAATGATATTTGCTTTTGAAATCTTTGAAATGAATGGATAGAAGCTAGTCAGCTATTTTGCATTGGAGGGTTTCAATAGTGCACTAATTGGGATGATCAGATTCTATCTTGATAAAGGATAATAGTCTAGAATGAGAAGTCTGAAAGTATTAGCTTCACTGAAACTGAAAGTTCACTGGAAGACTATGTGAAATTAACTTTCACGGTTATTTATAGATCTGAAAGAAATTTCGGATGAGCAACAAGCGCCGTATGATTTAGACTTATATGTGCGGAAGTTGGATGATTCTAAAAAACGAGTTACAGCAGCCGGGAACGTCTTGCAAAACGTGCATGATCGATTGAGCCGCTTACAGCGTAATATTGCTCGTCAGGTCTACCAACAAAAACAGCGTATCGTACAACCAGTGCCATCACCTCCAAATCGTTAACTTACTCTCGTATTATTGAAATAACTATTTACTTGATTTGGGATTTGTTTGACTGCATCATGAGAAACTGGATTGGCTTAATATGTTTTAGCAAATTTCCATAGGTTACTTAGTGAGTGTAAAAAGAAATGTGACAGATTTTAGGAAAAGCCATTCAGTAGTCAGTTCTTGGCACTGGTAAAATATTTTAATTGTAGGATAGTTATGAAGATACAAGGAATAAGACCTGTTGTATGTGTTATATAGCTACGGAAGACAATAGTGGTGGTATAATCAAACAAAAAGCTTGTTGTGCGATCCATCCCATTTCGGAAGTTTGCTTTTCCATGTTCACTAGAATTAGTCATGTCATTAGCAGAAGACCTGCCGCTAAAATATGAACTGTCCAATCTATTCGATTCATGTCCTCATGCTGATGGTTTGATTTGCAACATGCAATCTTTATACTGTAATCAAATTGTACAAAGTAATGGAAAACAATAGAAAATGATTTTAGGCGTTAACAACGATCGTTCTCGCAGCAATATCATAGCCAGCACGATTGTAGGTAAACGCATAAGCTGCTGCACTAAGCGGGAAAAGTAGATTGATAAGCATATTCTTCGTTAATGATCGTAGCAAAGAACTGAAATACTTGCTATTGGATGTACGAAAAAGATCATTTATGAGCAAAAATAATCGTTTTCTTACAAAAAATCTTTATTTCCTTACAGTGCAAACGTGCGAACACGACAAAGTATGTGTCTTACTAACAAGTTCTTTTAATGCTAAGCTTTTGGACATTACGTTTACGACATTGCATCTGAGATCACGGAATGTAAAATCAAACGATCATCACATTAGCGAAAAAATTCACCAGTACGCAAAAAAGGGACTGACTTTTTGAATGGAACACCAAGCGTCCGAACGATATTCACGTCTTCGCTACCTGCTATCGGTATCACTTGATAACAAGTAATCACTTGAATATTTAACGCAACTTTCCCCGGTGTTTGTCCAGCAGGTACTGATCCAAAACCATATGATACAAATAAAGCCTGAAGCGAAACTTGTCGTACTAGTGAAGTCTGATAAGAATGAAAAGTTTGTAATAATTTAATCAAAATTGAGACGAAAAAATGTACTTCAAGTGAATTAATACTGAATTTAAAGCTTAGCTAGGAAAGAAAATATGAAAGACAGGGCTACAGCTCGTGTCGACTATCATAGTTAAATTCGCCTGTGCTAGCAGATTTTCTAAATTGTTCTAAAACAATAAAATATGTAACTGGAACACACGGACTTCGACAATACTAACGACGACTTTTGCAAGCATTTCAATAGGAAACAGTTGTTGAGTTACGTCAATCAACGCATGCAAGTCAGCGTCATCACCCAATAATCGGTCATATTTATCTAGATCCCTGAAAATGTCTGGGTAATTTTTGCAACGTTGAAATGTTATTCGATACTTATTTTACCTAGAAACATTTTTGTGCTCTAGAAATTGCAGCTTCTTAGCGCATAGCACTGTATTTTTCTAAAGACAACAAGTAATGTCAAGAAATGCTATACGTGGAAGAAACTGAGGATTTTAGCAATATCTATCACTATAAGAGAAGTCAAGGAAGTGGAAATGATACTTACACAACACCAATTTCTACCAAGAAATAGACAATTAATAATTTTGCGACAAATGCAAAGATAGAATCGATGATTTCTGCAAGGATACGTCGTGTAAAAGATGGAATTGTGTGACGCTGAATGAAGTGATTTGGATTCCGCGGATTCGCACTTGATGAGGAAGCATTCTGTATTGGTAATGTGACAGCAAATGGTGCGTGAGATATGATGTTATCCGGCCGGTTACATGATGCCAAATATGCTAACGAATGCATAGTTGCCATCTGATGACAATATGCCCAGCAGTGAGTCGTAAATAACCATTTACGTAGCTCAGTCGCGTATGCTGCGGCGCTACCATAGTCAACCACCGGAGGTGCCATTAATGTAGCCTCGGATGATGATTCCGGTTGGCGACCTCCTTGGTCTTCCAATTTTTCGCGTTTTCGCAGTTCCACCATTCTGCAAAATTCGACTGAAATTTTTTATTTTTGGATTTTTTTTTTGAAGATCTGCATAAATGACAATAAATGGTAATATCAAAATGATCACCGATTTGCTAGTAATTTAGGATGAACTTGCAATTATCAATGTGAATGGAAATCGCAGTTTGCAAGATGCAAACTTAGGTATTGATACAAAATACGTTTTATACATAATTGGTGAGGTAAAAACAAGTACGCAGAGAACTTGAGAACAGAACGCGTAGCATCTAATGTTTAGCAATATTACAGGGTGCACGAAATACGAGGTATCTAAGCCCTGCAAATGCTGAAATGGGTAGCAGGCAATAGCAGATCGCATAGTCCGTTATTATATAGTCTCCAGAAACAGCTACTCTATGCTTATTTGCTAACCAACACAAGAAAATGGTCCCAAAACTTCCCGGCTCATTTCCACTAAAATCAGCTCATAGACCAAAATAGACTCAACTGAGACAAGCTATGTCATGTTGGTCCTGCTTAGGACCGCATGAGATGTTACTAAATGTTAACTTGCTAGGCGTGTGGGTGATGTTCCTGATTGTCGAGCTTTCGGGAATTTGTTTTCTCGAGGTTTCTGGTTTCCTGGGTTTTACGTTTTTGAGATCTGTGGAATTTAAGGTTTTTCCCAAGATTTGTCTAAAATTTTGTCTTCAGAAGAAGTTTTCTTTAAAAAATCTCAAATTTATAGTAGTAGTAGTATTATGAATACACGTGAAGTTGCCATATAACAGTTGGTTCAATACACTTACTACATGCTTCTCACTCTTAATAACACTTTACACGCACGGTATTTAATTATATGCTTTGCAGCGTTTACTTCGTAATGCATGTAACAATGGCGTGTAAATTATAATTCTGTCCTAAACAAAAGCGGTGGTACTTGAATATTAAGCTCAGTAAAGGAGACGCAGTGATGCGCATTCCTATTTCACATCATTACACACCTCATTTCAGGTATCGTAATGAATTCCGATAAAATTGATGCTTGGATTGATCACAAAAATAACATAAAAACGATACGTGTGAATAACGAAGCTAGCAAGGTCTCTTCTTTTTCTTGCATTTGATCGCTGTTCTGGGATACTAAGATTTCATGTATCTCTTGAGGTTGTAAGTCCTACTGTAAGGGTTGACAGTACCGATACATCTGGATACAATATTCGGAATTTAGTAGGGTATGGGAATATGCACAAAGGAAAAGGGTTCAAATTTTTGCTAGTTTTGGCAGCACTGATATGGATTTTCGATACACTGATTGCATCAGTCATAAAAAGATTCATTTCAGGATAATCTACTGCAGGCAGTTGTTGCGGAAGTTGTCAGTAATATCGTTGATTTGGTATGTAAGGGATGTATGTCATTCGATTACTTTTTTGATCGTTTCAATATTGTCGGCTCAGCAAGTTTTAGGTTTGCTAGAATCATTCCAAAATTTGTATAAGTCAACACTTTTTATGGTCATAGTAGATTTTTTTTTTTTTTTTTTTCAAATATTTGTTGCTATTTTAAGAATTACTCAGTCTACGAGAAATAATGAACTATCGAAAAGTGCATTCACTGTTCAGTCGAGCAGTGATAGTTCGGATGATGAATTCGATAGGTTTGTTTCCTTATTTCACTCACTGATATTGATTACCATGTTTTTATACCATTATTGATTTTTGGAACATATTTGATAGTTATTTAAAGAAATTAAGGATTGGTTAAACATGCAGAGCAGTTTCGTCTTATCAAATTTAATAAGTTAGAGATATGGTCTGTTTTATCTAACTCTTTGTATCATTTAAATTTTCAATGCCACACTTTTTTAGACCTCAACTCAGATTCAAATTTTGAGCAGCTTGATTTGAATGACACTTTTGAATAATTAGCTTATTATTTTTTCATCATGATTAGTTGGAATGCTGTTCTAGGTTTTTTTTTTTAGAATTTTGAAAAGTACTGGACGGCAAATGTCGCTACAGCCGGAAGAGGAAGATGATGATGTGGATATTGCCACTTCAACGAAAACAAGTGTAAAACTTATTCATCATGAGTATGACACAATGCCTGCTATCGAGGAGCTCAGGATTCATGTTGAAGAAGACATTCTCTTAAAACATTTTGGGAGAATTGTGAACGTCGTCGATAGATTAGGTAATACAAACATTTTGGGACGTTTGCTAATTGCAATGAACTGCAGCTAGAGCCGATTATTGATGAAATGTATCATCTGAGGAATGTGAAGTCTCGAACTGAATAGACTATGAATATGTTTTCTTTTATATTATTAATGAATTGACTGTATAGGTTTGACATTCCTACTTTAATATTTAGGCACTATGTTAATGCTTAATATAAATGTAATTTCTTGTTCTATTTCAGTAGTGATTGAAGCTGATTCAAATACCGCACTTGATTTTGACAGTGTTATTTTTGATTCTGAACGCAATGCTGTAGGACGGGTACATTTGCTCTTTTTTTTCTATATTAGAATAAAGGAAACGAATCTATCTAGATCTTTAGTTTCTTTGTAAATATTGAAGAACTTTTTGCTGGATCTCCTTGATGTATATGACAGAATTGATGAACGCTGTTCACATTCTATCATAATAAACATGGAACGTTGATAAGGAGTTCACGGTGTGATTCATGCTTGACTTCGTCTTGGTCAAGTTGCAGAATAAATAGAATTGTTCTTTCTTCCATTACGTCATGTTTTTACTTAGTAAATTCGTAAGTAAAATTCTAGGTGTTTGACATCTTCGGACCGGTTGCTAAGCCAATGTATGCGATTCTTTTCAACGATGTTGAGGAAGCAAGTGAGTGGAGAGTGGACAGTGTAATGTATTATGCACCAGGTGCTTCCCAGTTCACTCATACAATATTTACCGAGAAATTGAGGCAGCAAGTTTTTCATTATTTGAATGAGCACTGGTAAATGTGATAAAATTGAAGGCATCAAAGAGAAAACCTAAGATGTTTCGTCACTGTGGTGGTAACAGTATTAAGAACATTCCATAGGGTATGGCCTCTAGTAGTATGGTTTTGAGGTAGCATTATCGAGAAAAATTTACAATAATAGCAATTTACTGAATCTTAAAGGTTTTCTGTTTGCTAAATTGTTTGTTTTGATTTGTTAAAGCCAGTTCTGAGTTATAACACAATGAATAATGGTCGACATTAAATGGGGTGAAAAATAATTGTTAATAACGAGCCGTTTTTCAGAGAGAAAGCCACTGACGGCTGTTGGGATGGTGAAGGTGAATGTCCCGATGATATGCTAGCGTTTAGTGATGATGAAGTCGAACAGCGGTATAAAGCAAAGCATCGATCTATGATAGTCAGCGATAGAGGTTAGTAAATTTGCATAACAATGCTTTTCCTACTAATGACCATTAAGTTTCTCTCAATTTTATAGTATTTTTCTGCATAGTTTTTGAATTTGTAGCAAAATTGTTCACATGATATGGCTAATGCTTCTAATGCAACACTTCATAATGTTTATTTAGGTCAACACATTTTCGGTAATCCAAGAAACAAAAAAGCACGGTACTCTTCAAAATATGGTCGACCAAAATGTAGGAATAATAGGAGCAATGGTTCGAAACAGTACGACGGTAGTACAGTAGATAGTCATATTGAACAGTAAGTTGTTTGAAGGCCCCACTTGAGATTACGATATGCTGTAATTGCTTTTGAATGGCAAATAACTTTTGAATGATTTGTTGCTAGTTATGTTTCGCGCTAAATGACTGGATGATGGACCAGTCCTATTTGTCTTGAAATTCTACAAAAATAAAAAGTAAAAAAAAAGATATGATTTGCAGAAATTCAGCGCGTCAGTCACCTTTTTGTTCAGCAGCAGTGGAGAAAAATGGACTTCGACCATTTCAGCATGACCTTTGTTTCACATCTTTTGGGATGGTGGAACGCTCAAGTCATTTATTCTTTGAAAGAAATAAGACATGAGTATGAGCAGTTTACCTGCCTAGTATAAGACTTTAAATTCATCCTTAAATAATCGTTATTTTCTATGAAGGTCATTTCAATAATGTTATGTCGTCTTGTACCTGATTTGATGTTTGTTTCTTTGGATTGTTTCGCTGATATTGAAATACAAAATTTAATTTTTTTTGAAAAAAATTTTTTTAATTTTAATATTTTTAATTTTTGTAATTAATCTCTAGATTTGGATTTTATTCGGAACAAACATTTTAATTTGTGACAATTTATTGCACTTATTATTTTTTTTTTATTTTAACTATGGAGCAGTCATTGTTGTTTATTTTTCGCAGAAAACAAATGTTTGATTTCAAAATCTGCATCAGTTTTTCGAAACTATGTGGATTGTTAAGTGTAGTGCAGATACTGATTAATACTTAATGCATTCTAGTGATGTAACATGCGTATTATATTATGATTCTGCGAATATTTAACAGTTATTCAAATTTCTGAAATAGTCAAGGTATTGTTAATCTCTCTTTTTCAAGTCGGTTGAGTTTTGTCTATCATGTTGCAGATTGTGAATAAAACTTTGTTGGCAGCATTTCATGTACCATTTTCTGTGTGCACTTCAGACGTACATTTCAAGAAACAATGGATGATAATAGCAATGAAGTTGTTTTATCTATTGTGTTGGCTACATTTAGATACTTTATTTCTGTTCGGTTTTTTTTACAGAGACAGTACGGTTTCTTGCGAGCTTTAATGTGAATGCCGTTGCGAAATTGAGGGGAATCGTTTCTGTTGGACCTTTTTTCGTCGTTGATGAACGTTCCGATAAAAGAAAAATGCTGAACAGTTTGTTTATTGTGAATACTTCTGGGTATGTTGTTATTAATGAACCATTATGTTATATCCCGGCCCGTAGTAGAGGGAATAATTTTACCTATACTCGTCCTGAACCGTGATGTGACTCTTTGATTTCAGTAATTTTGTGGTAATGAAGTTGTCTAGTATATGCCTAATTCAGATGGCATAAGTGAAGTATGGCCAGTCGGTGACTGCTAGAATAAAAGTGAATGGTGGAGAAGTGAAAATTTTTAGCAACTTCCAATCCTCTTTGTAATTAGCAGTTTGAGGGGATTTTTGTGTATGGAAAACGCCAGTCTGAAGAAGTTATGGTCAAAGACAAGTATAATGCGGCAGTTGAGATCAAGCTAATAGTTCACTCAGGAAAGGAATAATTGATGTAATAATAAAAGGGAATCGACAAACCCCTGGAAAATTATATGGAAGTTTTATGGAATCTATGTACTGGGAAAAAGTGCAAAATCTCCCTCAAAAGATAACGGTCACTCTGGACATGGCCGTAATTCAGATTAAGCTAAAAGCTCCCTCAGGGGAAAGGAGTGGGGTCAGCACTTATATGTAACAGTGGACAGTGACGTCGGTATTAATGAGTGTGTGTAAGCATGATGGAGCTGTCGAAGGAAACAGTTTGAAATGATGGAAATGATGGGTGAGTTTTTCTCAATGAATAAGTTGTCGATAAACCTTGTGGTTTAGATACTCATTTTAAAGTTATATGTGACGGACGAAATTTCAGACAGCCTCCAAACTGACGGTAATCGAGAGTAATGAAAGAAAAAAGAAGTTGAGAATAATGCCAAATTTGGCAATCTATGATCATCAAGATTTTCATGGACGTATATATAGCACATGTTTGGAGTGAGCGATATAGCTGTTGTTTTGGGAAGTTTAAGGAAGCCAGTCTGTTGCGAGTTGAAATGAATGCAAAAAACAAGCAATAGTTCAAAGATTATTGATGGACTGGATAAACGAGCTTACAATGGAAATTAGGATCCGGAGTACGATAGCAAGATGAAATCCCTCCTATTTTCTATAAGTAATCGCATAGAAGTAGTACTACCTTGCAATTTCATTTTCTTCCTCGCACTGGGATTTACCAGAAGCAAACATATTTTGATGTAGATCTAGACTGCTGATTATCTGTTTTGTTTCAGCGACATTATTCTCGAGAAACACTGGAAATCTGTTATTCATCGGTCGATATGCGATTATTTTTTTGATGCCCAAAAAAAGGTTTTGTATGCTATTTGGTTGAGACTAATCTTAATATTTAAGAGCTATTTCAAGCTTGTCCATTTTAACATCAGTTTAATAGCCTTTTTTTATCATTGTGAATTATTGGTTGAATTTAATATATAGAATATATGTGTGCATGTTTCTGCTAGATGATGTGTTTCAATTCACATATCATCATTTCCGTTCATTATTGTTCATATATTTTTGGTAGAATATTCATATATTTGGTAGAAGTACGGAGAATATTTAACGAAAATTTACCAGTATTTTCAGGCATCTTACCCGGAAGATGTACCACCAGTTATATCAACACCTCACCATTATCTTATCAGTGTTTATTATAACCATCTTTATCTCCTTGCTGTAACTGTGTCTGAAAGTAATCTTTCACTTGCAATAACTGTAACTTATGTAATAAAATGAATTTAGTTTTTGAATCATTATATTCTATAAAGTTGTTCCTTATTTATTCGTCTTTTTTGCATATTTCTGATTAATTTTTAAATACTTGTCGAGTTCTTTTTTTCCTTTTTTTTTATTAAATTGGGCTGTTCTAATAGCGAGTCTATATAGATAGTTCTGATTATCGTTTAAATACTAAGCCTTATTTTAAATACAATTATGCTGTATCATATGTTTGTATCCATACTATTCATACAAATTAACAGTATTTAAATTTATTAAGAAACGATTTCTAGCTCCGCCATTAATGGTAATCGAGTTTTTGCATCGTGTCATCGCTACATTTGTGGAATATTTTGAAGAATTCACCGACAATGCAGTGAAGGAAAATTGTGTTATGGTTTTCGAAGTATGTTTTATGTGTCACTATCATAATATCAGTAATGAATCGATATGAATAGATCTTATTAATTCCCTGTTACGGTTCATTTTGATTATTACACTGTGATAGAAATTGTTATACCTTCCTAGTTTGAGTCATTGCATCGTTTCATTCAGAGAGGTATCCGATGAGTATCCGAAAAAAAAAAACTGTGTTTCTCATTTCTCCTTATTGACATGTAATTGTTTTCCAGCTGTTAGATGAAATGCTTGATAATGGTTTCCCATTGGCTACAGAATTGAACGTTTTGCAAGAGCTTATCAAACCACCTAATTTTCTCCGAACTATCGCTAATCAAGTAATGTTTATAATTAATTTGACGGTCAAGTGATTAGATGAATTGGTTCTAGAAATACCAGCATTTCAGATTTTTTGATAGTATTATCGTTTTAAATGCATGGTAATCAAATGTGGTTATGAAATCAAAAAATTGAATAACTGCGACGGTGTGCATGTGGGAGCAGTTCCTTTTTTTTCGTAGGTGATGGGTCGGACGAATGTTTCGGAAGTATTACCAACCGGGCAACTGTCAAATATACCTTGGAGAAGAGCTGATGTTAAATATACAAACAATGAAGCTTACTTTGATGTTATTGAAGAGATTGATGCCATAATTGACCGTCAAGGAGCTACTGTGTTCTCTGAAATACAAGGATACGTTAGTAATTCAAATTCCTTTTTGTAGCACTAATTGTTAGCAATCTCTACATTCTCAAACTTTATTTTAGTATTTTTTGCGCAACTATTTCATGAATTTTAATTCATGCTTCCATTTGCATCAAAAGAGTTATGTAAAATGTTGTGGGCGTAAATGTTCATTGTGCCTCTACAGTGCCGTCAGTCAAATAGACCTCTGAAAACTATTTCTTCAGATAGATTGTTGCTGTAAACTTTCCGGCATGCCTGATCTAACAATGTCATTAATTAATCCAAGATTGTTAGATGATGTCTCATTTCACCCATGCGTGAGATTCAAGCGATGGGAAGTTGGTACTTCGTTATTTTATTTTCTAAGACTTCTTTTCACATCTTCAAAAAATGCAGAAAAAAAATAACTGCATTTTTTAGTGGGAAAATCAGCTTTATTGAAGCCATTATATTTCGTCCATTCTAAAGTTTATAAATAACAATTCCAATAATGAAGGTCTCAAATCACAGATGTAGAATATTTATTTGGTAGGGTGACATTTAATAGATGTTCTAACGTTTTTTCTTTTTTCTTTTTTTGCGACTAATATGGTTTTCATGAATTCAATAGAATGAGCGAGTATTATCATTTGTGCCACCAGATGGAAATTTCCGCTTACTCTCCTATCACATTGGTTCTCAGAAGTTAGTTCAGTGATAATATTTATTTTTAGCAATTTTCAAATTTTTATATTATGTTCAGAGAAAAAGTTTTGGAATATTCAGGATTTATTTTATGCTTTTTATGGTTTATTAAACACAATATTCCATCTTTTTCAGTATGGTTGCAATACCAGTATACGTGCGTCATAATATATCACTTAAGCCAAGCACTACTGGACGAATAGAACTAACAGTTGGCCCAAAGCAAAGTATGGGTAAAGTGGTGAGTGTTAGCTTCTTTGATTTTGTGTATTATTTGTGTTTTTTGTTTCTTTTTGTTGAAATTATGACGAGAGAAAATTAATATGAATTGAAGTTTGATTGGTTTACTATAAATTTTTTCTTAGTGACTTGTGTGTTAGTTTGTAGAGTGATAGCAAATAATAATATTAAAAAATAGTTATGTGGAACGTATGTTTCATACATTTTCTTAATTCTTTGATATTTTTCACTACTCCTTACAATTTCCAATAATAGTTTCACTAAAGTGTTGGCACGAGATGTAGTAATATATGCAAAATGGGTAATGTCATTTGTTTTAATTTGCAATTTTGAATAATCACGATTTTTAGTTAGAAGATGTTATCGTGGAAATGGCAATGCCGAAAGCAGTGCAAAATTGCATGTTAATATCGAGCACTGGAAAATGCTCCTTTGATCCTACAACGAAACTGCTGCAGTGGAATGTTGGAAAGATTGAACTGGGTAAACCACCGACTTTAAAAGGAACTGTACGTTATTCTTTCTTATGTTTTCCTTCCACTTCTCTACAAATACTTTTTGAATCTTCCTTTCTATTTTAGTTTATTGAAGCGCCAATTCACTTTCTTTCTTTATGGTCATTTTTGTCTAAGCGTTTATTTTAATATTTCGATTAATGCTTTCATGGAATATGGCTGAAAAGAAAGGTTACAAACGAAATGTCGAATTTCGTATAAATATGCATTAGTAGGATTCACATAATTTTTCTGACAGCTGTTTTTCATCATGAAATCATTGAATGAATTTAGTTCCTGCTCTCTTATCGGAACCAATTCAGCAAACCATTTTAATAGTTAAAACAAGAAATAGGAACTGGAAAAAAAATGTTGTCTTGATTGTTTTCTGATGAATGTGACTGCTGAGAAATGTACAGTTTAAGAATGACTACATCAATTTTCTGATTATTCTGAGTTATTAAAATAGCTTATAGTTACTTTTAGATCTCAGTTAGCGGTACAGCAAATGTCGAGGCGCCACCGATTACTGTATATTTCAAAATTAATCAGTTGGCTGTGTCTGGATTAAAAGTAAATCGCTTGGATTTGTATGGTGAAAAATATAAGCCGTTCAAAGGTGTTAAATATATCACTAAAGCTGGAAGATTTCAAGTTCGCACATGATTATTTCTTTGTTTCGGTTTTCAATACTACTTTCCATATTATATTGGGGAAATTCTCTGCGATTCTTATTAACTAATTGTAACTGTTAGTAATAATGGGGGAAGATATATGAATGAAGTACACGTTATATGTGATAAATGTTTTGGCTGACCAATTTTATTTCAAAATTAAGTTGTAAATTTCGTCTTTATCTTTCATCTTTGATTTCCGTTAGTATTTGAAATAATTTGACACTGTTCAGGGGATTAATGTTAATCTGTTTGATTATAGTGTAATTACCGCTAGGTGTCAAAGGAATCGACCAGATGATTTATGAGGAGATGATAGGATACTAATCATTTGATCACTGCTTTCACTGCTTCATCCGTTTTCCTCTTATCTCCTCACTTTTTAACCTTGTTTTCTCTAAAATAGTATTTTTCCCTTCTTAATCTTTTACGAGTGTTTAAGAGAGTTACGATGTTTCCTGTGTCATATGCCCTCAGTCCATGTTTTGGTTTGCAGCAAAGTGCTTGTTGTTAATGTAAATGTTCATTAAACTTAGTTTTTTGTTTTTCCGCTGAAAGATCTCTTAAGTATCGGTGAAGTCTATGATAAAATTTACATTTGCAAATGAACTTTTCACGACATCTTGATAAAGCTTAATAACAGAAGTTTATGGAAGAAATTGTCAACTTTTCCAGGTATTAAAAATAATGGATTGAATGAATCTGCAAAAAAAACCAAATCGACAAAGAGACGCTGTAATTTTTCAATTTGGTATAAGAATGACGGAAGATGTTGTAGAATGAAAGTTAGGGGAAGAGGGGTTTTACATTGATTTCGCGAAGAATCTAAAAGTTATCCAATTCAAGGGATTTTGGGAAGCAAGCTTTGATTCTATTTGCAGTCAAACGAACCTATCAATAATACTAATGAGAGTAGATCAGAAGGCTAAGCAAACAGTAATGTTTCGATGTGAACGTGGGATAGAGTCTTTTGGATAGTTTTGCAAAAATGCTGTTTCATTTGAAGGAAGTTTCGTAGATAGGATGCACTACAATATCAGTTTTGAAAAATTTGCTTCTATTTCTTACCTTTTCCTCTTTCCAAGAATTTCACAGGTGCAATCACATTGCAATAGTGTGAAGTGAAAGCGATGCTTCAAAGTACCAGTAATAAGGAAGTCCTGGCATTATTCAGTTCAGAAAACGAAATGAAGAACAATCGAATTCATTAAGAGTTATTTCAATCTTTCATCTTATAGTCTTCTTTGGTTCACTTCTCGTTATCTTTGTATAAGGTGCCGTGCAATTAACTTTCTCTATCAGTGAAGTTTAAGAGGAAATCTCTTTCCATTCTTAAAAACAGGAAGAATGTGTGACAGCCAATTACGTCCATCTTTTTACTATATTATCTTAAACAGACATATCCACTGCTATCTCTCTTTTACTTTTTTCACAAAAAATTCTGCTTAAATAATTAAGGGTTTAAATGGTCCATATTTGTGGTCACCACGACCGGTGCTTGACTTGCGACTGCTTTTGAAGTCGCGTAATGGTGCCCAACTTCTCACGGCTTTCTAAGCACCAATTACATCTTTTATATGATGTATTGACTTTCCCAGTACTATAAAACTTCGCCATTCAGGAAATTGGATATCCAAATTCATCTGAAAATGCTAGCAACTAAACTGGGAAGAAGTTTCAATGACTCCTTTATTTGGAAATACTCGATATTTAATTTTAATACTTTGTGCATGACCATTATATGATCCAATGAAATGCTATTCAATATGATGGTCATTTGCATGACTGCCAATGATACAACTATCGGGGTTAATTTCATTTAAATCTTTCTACTCATTTCGGGATTTTGGTCTGAAATGAATTTCAAAAAATTCATCATTCGTAAAATTTGCTTAAAGAAGCAACTTGTTTGAATCTTAAAACAGGTGAGTGGAAAGTGAAAGCTTTGTAAATGAATGAAAGAAAGCACTTAAGAAAATGAAGAAGGGAAAGAGAATTCTTTGTGCCAGCTCCAGTAGTTGATCAAGTAATTATCAGAACTAGTCGATGAGAAGTTCATCAGTCGGTTGTTGTGTATTTCATATTGAGCCAATATTACTATCACCACATGACAGCAGCATTATTTTTGCAAGCAGTGTGGTTGGCGTAGCCGTATTCAGTCTACCGGTTGCTTGTTTTGCTTTATCGGTTCGGGATATGGACCACATTTCCCGTACTGGTGGTTGTATCTGCATTAGCAACTGAGCTATGCCTGCTGCAGCACATTTTGGCTTACCTGCTATCATCTGTACCTGAATTTGCCAGGATCCTGTTATATTCATTACCATCTATTCAACACTTCTCTCTTATAGATTTCTTTGCAATTTAGAAAAAGGAAAAAAGAAATTTTTGTGTTATTTCCACTTTGGTAAGCGATTATGCTCCATTAGCTAGCATCAGGAAGTTCCTCGGAAGAAACCGAAGCACGACCAGTTCCGTCTGAGTTGCTTAACCAACTAGAGACTTAGTGCTTGGGATTTAATTCTAAGGAGCATGAAAACGGAAAAGAGATTTCTGCTGAACTTCGTGATAAGCAAACTAAGATCAAAAATAAAATTTTCTTGTCTTTTTGCTGTGGTTCCCATTTTTTGGGTCAGTTTCGCATCTTGGAGAAGGATGAGTAGAAATGCTAGTTCTCGCATGAAGAAAACTTAATTCCATCTAGCAATAGTCTAAATTATGTATATATTACCTGGCGGTTATTTGTTTCAAAGGAGGAATATTCGAGGATAACTACAGTAAGTTTCATAGTAAGTTTCACTTTAACTCTTCTTCACTCCTTTTAATTTATTCTTACCCATCTGGTTCAGTTCATTTATCGCCGTTCCTCATTTTGCTTCTTGCGTCCCTAACACCCTATCACTGATATATACCCGAATGTTAGCGGGACAGAATAAGACATCGAAGGGACAAGTTTTTTTTACTATTGAAGGCCTCCCGTTACAGCCAAGTTTACAGGGTGAGTTTCTGTTTTTCTAGGATATGTCATTGCAACCCTTTGATTAGTGGTCAGAGCTTGTACTTCTTACCTGAACAATGGGCATTCTTCCAGCTAAAATTTTAAAAGTCGAGAGGTTACCGTGCCTTATTGTTTCCTCGACGGCTGTTTGGGCTAGATGGATAGCATTCTTTGGGAATTCATTCGGTTTTCAGTTCACTATCAGGTAGGAGATAGACACGGCATACGCAAGATGGTTGCAATCTAGAAGGTAGTCCAAATAAGGAGAAAAGTGCTCTAACATTCTTTTTGCTGCTTGACCCTATGTGTTCCGGTAGGCGGCTAAGCATGTGCCATAAATCTAAGCAAAACGAAAAGAGATCGCAACAAACCGCACTCTGCTTATAAAATTTGTGATAAATTATTCCGCAGAATTAAACCCCTTAAGAATCTTCAATGAATCACAATCGCAAATATAATTTCTTTAGAATAATTCCGAATTTCAGTCTGATTTCCCTGAAAGCAGTAAAAGAATGAAATTTTCATTATTAATTTACCTGCTAACAAAACTGTTATCAAAGTATACACTTTTCATCATTTAGTCATTGCCAATATAAAGGGGAAAAGGACCGTACCCCTATCTTTCTTCGGGATGTAAGAGAGAAAATCAAAATAACCGGAAAGTGATAGTTTCGGAAAGCAATATGAAATATGCTTTCGGTATTTATTATGACGGTATGTTCTCTAATCGAGAAACATCGTTTCCTTTCTTTTCTAATTCGCTTTCTACAAGATAAATAAAATATTCGGCTGATATTATCTAGTGAACCGATTTAAACTCACTATAAAATCTGACTCGGAAAAGCGGCTAGCAATTATTTCTTCTGTGCCCCTTCAATTTTGTGGAATTTTGCTGACCCAGCGAGAAGTTATGCCTCGACGCAATTATCTTGTGAGATTGTCTTTGTCACAGTTAATGACCTCGACGCAATTATCTTGTGAGATTGTCTTTGTCACAGTTAATGACCAGGAAAACAGTTGACATGTGCTACGTAAACTCTGAATCATAGAGTAAATTTTAATGCAGTTGGAAAGAAAAAGGAACTGTCTGGATAAGTGTTTACGTGTAAGTATCCAACGTCGGTAAATCCTCCTGCATTCCTATAATTCATGCCCACAATTTCAGATGGATCGCAATACGGTATTGAATGTACCTATCGAAGAACTGGCTTATCGGCGATGATACCTCCTGTATCGCAACTTGTTAAATTAATCCTTGATGTAGCTGCTGATCACGTTGATTGCTTCAACATAAGCTATTCGTATATTCGTTCCAAGATCCTTCTCTATCAGCGGGGCTACGGATAGTCATGGAGCTATTCCTTCTAGGCGAACTAGAAATCATTCTTATTCCTTCAGATGGAGTGCTCTCTCAGCACTCGTAACGGAATAAAATAATAAAGCGATTCCTTTCTTATTTCTTTTGCGACACCCTGAATCCTTTGAAGCAACAAGTCTTCACTTGTCTGTCCTTTCAATTTTGGAAAATTTGCTGATTCAGCGACTGCTTGTTTGCTACAAGAAATGAATGACACTTTTGTCACGTTAATGAGTGGATGAGCCACATAAACTTTGACAGCGTATGATATAAACATTAACAAGCGTAGGTAAATTTGAAAACAGCCGGAAAGAAACAGAGATTGTTGGGTGTTTATGCACGCTTTCTATGGTTGGTTGTAAGCCTATGGTTTTGTTCTTTTCTTAATTTATTCCCATGTGACACTCGAGATCCTTTGAATCAGTCTGTCTAGATCGAATCGCCTCTTTCTTCAGGAAAGGTTCAAGGTTCAATTTTCCAACATCCTTTCTATGGTTGGTTGTGGCCTATGGCTGCTGCCACTGGGATTTTTGAAGCGAAAGGATGATGTGGCAGCTCTCATCTGCTTCAGCCAGCATAAGTTGTGTGGCATTTAAAACATGTGGATCCATGAATGGTGTCATATTAGTCGAGATTTTACGCAGTTTTTCATGGGTGTTGCTCAGATATGTCCTAAAGTTTTTTCTCCTACACAGCAAGTCTGATGGTAGTATGTAAACATAATATGTCATTAAATTTTGAAGTGCAGAGAGCTCGCACCGTAGGCTATCAATTTTGTTATCGAAATGGAATCATGACCACAATGGATTCATTCGAAATATTAAAAATACGTGTCACCAGTCCTCCTGCGACAGCACAAGTAGAAATATTGGATCACTGGAAAAAACAATAAAAAGAAAAATTTGACCGTTCAGGAACAGTGGAATTCCTCCTGAATTCCTGCTATCATGCTAACTCTGTGTTTTTGTTATTTCAGTTGTTATCAACGATTGGTATGCTAATGGTACCATTTCTGGTAAACTGGCTGGCTCCACGAAATACTGTCCAGGAATGGCGTCTGGTCGTGCTCATAAGCTGTTGCCCACGTCGTAGCCGATATTATGTTATGCACGCTATACAGTGACAAGCCCGAATATTGGCATTTAGTGGCACCGATGCTAGCACTATCAATCAATTCAGACTTGAGTCAGTTCACAAACAGCTGAGTAGTAGAAATGACGAAGGGAATGTCGCTGGAAGGAATAAATAGCAGAAGTGATTCCGGTGTTTTTTATTTTGCCGGGCAATAGTGTTGCTGGCAGCTGTAATGACGGCATCTGTGCGTAACATATATGTGGCTCAGTTTACAACTGAATACAGCTCCTTTGTAACATTTCATAATGAATTCCAAATTTTTCTGGCACTTACATCAGTCTTCAGACATAGGATTGTTTGGCCTAATAAAAAAAGTTGATGATAGTAATCGTTTGCAAGGCAGAGCGATGACACCCTTATTATTGCCACTATCATACAACTCTCATGATAGCCGTATTAAATGCAAACTTAATTGTCATAGCTAGATTTTGCGAAGGCTCATAATGAGATTATGTATTTGTAAGAAAAACATTTTTAGAGGTAATTCTTATGACTTCCATTCCCCTCACCACAATATATGAGAAGTGACCCTCAGACATCATCTTTCACCGGACTTAAAGTCAATAATAGCTTTTATTGAAAGAATGTCAAAATGTGGATGACGTAAAATCTGTTGGCGAAACAAAATTCTTAAAAAATTGTAGAGAAAATTTTAAGAAACCCAAGTTCGTATTATTTACATCACTTTAATATAAAGATATCAATGAATAATGTTTGGGAATTAAGAAAAGTTCGTTTCACTTGAGAGTATTGTCTAATAGCCCGAAAACAATATTACTTTCGCATTTTTAGCAACTGCAGTCAATTTTAAATGAATTCGCCCGCTTTCATAAGATATCGTTAACGTTTCTTGAATGTTTATTTGTAAGTCAAATTGCTGAAATAATCTGAAGTGATTGCTTTAAAACTTAAAGGTGGAGACTTCTCAACTAAAGAAAGTAAAAAGTGGCATCCAACACCCCTTGGTGGAGATGTCGGGCCTAACCTGGCGCGGATGTCCGAGATGTGTTCCATCCAACTGTTTTGCGTGGTGGAGACTGCACACTGTTGTTTGTGTTTGACCCTCTCCTAAGCCTAGGAACTGCCTCTGACTGATACGATGCGTTCTTGCTTGAGGCGGCACGCGTTATCCCCCAGGTCACCCAGGAAGTGACGCATACCTCACGGTCTACAACCAGGCAGCCTGGAGCAATGCGCCGGGCCTGGGAGTCCGTTCGTGCATGCCATACTCATTGCTGTAGTCCACTGATCTGCGTGTGGCCATTTTGTTTGCTACTTGTCGCGATAGATCGATCCTACGCCGTGAGAATTTGGACGCGCCACTATTGACCACAAAGGTACTACTATTAATAGAACAAGCGATTGCCTGCAGAAAACTTTCAGTGGAATAGTTAATTCTTCTGTGCTTTCTCTGACATCTCTCCCTTTCATAGTGATGTTTCGCAACTAGTATTTAGATCCCTAATTATTGAATAGCTGAACCCAGGAAGACGTTTGGTTTCGTTTGTTCTATTCATAACCCATAACCGTATGACCTTTAACCCGTGCAGTATACCAGTTCCTACATTCTATTTTCATTAATTCAACTTCAGGTTTTCCTTTTGATCCAGCGGTAGCCTTCGACCTACAAATTTTACAGAAGCAACCACCTGCACCGGTTTGTTTAGCATATCCTCACGCTCTGTTCAAGTTTTTGAGATGTTCGAAATCATCAGTTGGGTCCAATGAGCAGAATGGTGCGGAGAAGACAGTTAAATAAAACAAGTCATCCACATTCGTAGCGCGGAAAGTGGCGTTGCTGCCTGAAAGTAATGCTGAAACGACAGAAAATCGTACGAGAAGTCAAGTTGATAAGCCGAATTATGGAAGTTTAGGAGCAAAAGTGTGCAGAGAGCTAACTACAACAAATTAGCTAATTAAATAAGCAGTTAACTAATAAAAACAAAATAAAAAAGGGATGGAGAGGAAAGACATTCTTCCTTTTTTCAATCCTAGTTCATGAGAAGGAAAAAGTTCTTCACTAGGCCATTACTTACTGTTGAACTTGTTTAAGTTCGGTTTACCATAACTGTAATTGCACGAAAACATAATGTTTCGAAGTCTGGGCCAGTATTGGTAGCTGTGTTTGTCACTCGTGTCATCTTACTTTCCCATTACAGGTGCTTTGCTTTTGCTTTATCATTCACTCAGGATCGAATAGTGGGAATATATGTTAATTTGCCTCATGAAGGAAAGTTCCATGCTTAACAGTCTCAAGCTTAAATGTCCAGTTTTCTTTCTCTAAGAATTAAAGCTTCAGGCTTCAGGCATCACAAATAACACAACCATTTCTCACTCTTAAAATTTCTCGTTTTTGCTGGGGACCTCTCGTCACTTTTGCATCTAACATTTCGGATTTGCTGTTCTCACTGACCGCAGCCCGTGATTTACCATTTATCGGAAAGGACGAATTCAATTCTTTTGAATTATCTGTTTCTCAATGAAATAGCGGGTGGGGGTCTGGTTTCGCAGTGGTCATCTGATCTGCTATCAGACTGCTTGCTTTGGTATAAATCTGTTTGACCACAAATATAACAAACATTTCTCATTCCTAAAATTTCTCATTTATTGGGGGTCAATGTACAGTACTGTTGGAGAGCGGACAATGTATTAATACGGACTTACTGTGTTCCTTTATTTTAATTCAGTATATATGCAAATGCTGCTGTAAGGCGCTTTTTCCTGTTGCTTTCCGATTTTACAAATATGACATCCCTTAGTTTTGTAGGAATACAAAAATGGCGTCTTTCTTCGGGAACATCGAGATTGCATCTCCTATTGAAGTTTTTTATATGAACAAAATGTATCATGAGGAACCAGCGGAGTATAAAGTTAACTTAACCGTTGGAGGTGTGTTAAACTTCACTTCAAGAAAAAAAAAACACGTCATTGTTTGAAAGGTTATTTGGGATATCAAGTTTTATGGATAACTTCCATTGTTTTGTTTTTTTATCATATTAGTATTTTATACTTGTTTTTTCCTTTTAAAGCATATCGTACGGAAGAAGGTCAACCGTGGGTATTACCGGTGGTACGTGAAGCAGAGAAACGACTTGCAGATGATATTAGCCATGAATATTTACCAGTGCTTGGCTATGAACCATTCTGTAGTGCAGCAGTGGAACTAGTTCTTGGGAAGAATTCATCGACTATCAGAGCTGGAAAAGTTTGTAATTTAAGAATTTGAAATCGTATTGAGCTGAGTACATGCTCTTGAAAAGAAAAATGTGCGCGTAAACAGGGAAGATTACAAAAATACACATTTTTGAGTACCAAGCAAGAATACTTCAGTTGGAAATAACTGATAACCTTTGCCTCTCCCACTTTTCTTTTCATGGAAAATTTCAGGCCATAGGTGTGCAGTGTCTTTCCGGAACGGGTTCACTAAAAGCTGGAGCCGATTTTCTCAGTTTTGTCATGAAAATGGAAACGGTTTATGTTTCCAAACCTACTTGGTAAGTTTGTTACTGACAGGAAGAATCGTTTCTTAGTCTATTAGAGTTGCTGAGGAAGAACATGTTCAAAACATATGAATTTTTTTAGCCTTATTTTTTAGACCTAAGAGTTGATTAATATTACTCTGCTAAATAAGAAAGATGATAAACAAAGAAGATTTCTCTTTGCTATAGATATATATTGTTTGTGGGTTTACCATCTTTGCTTCTAGACGGATGTGAAAAGTTTCTCTGTTTTAAGTCCTATAGCTAAACCTTGACAATGATTACTATAGCGAGTTTCTTATTTCAGTCTTCTTCGTACTGCTTTTATTCAAAGTTCAAAGCAGTAATTAATATATTTTGTTATATATTATTTTCTTATTTGTTAGAATTTTCAGGGGCAATCATAAATTGATATTTGCAAGAGCTGGTTTTACTGATATACGTGAATATTATTACTGGGATTCAACAAATCGTTGTATTAATATGAAAAATATGTTGGCCGATCTTGAGACTGCACCTGAGAAGTAAGTGTTCTTTTGTCTAGTATTTTTTTCTCCCTTTATTTTATGTCGTCATTTTTCTCTACTATTGTTTGACGTTTAAACTCTATAACAATGCTATTGAATAAGGAACACAGGCTTGAGAAAAGGTGCGGGCGTTAAGCTCTCGAGCTACGCACTGAAAGAATTTAAAAAGCCATTAATGGTTTTAAATATGTTATAATAAAGTTGTGTGCTTTTTGTTTTAGTGCTGTAGTGGTTTTGCATGGTTGCGCTCATAATCCAACGGGTATGGATCCGACTCGTGACCAGTGGAAACAGATTGCAGAAGTTTTTAAGGCATGTGTTAGAATTAAAAGATATTTTTTCTTTCTTTCTCTCTACCAGACATTTCAGTTATTTTCTTCTAACTGCGGTGATTCAATAAATCCGAGATGTCCTATTTCATACTGTTTGCTTTTTTCTCTTTAAGAGGAGGCATCTATTTCCTTTCTTCGATCTTGCTTATCAAGGTTTTGCAAGTGGTGATCTGGACGCGGATGCCTGGGCTGTACGATATTTTGTTGAGCAAGGATTGGAGATGTTTTGTGCGCAGTCATTTGCTAAGAATTTTGGCCTTTATAGTAAATTTTTTGTAATCATTAATTATATGATCAGTTGAAATTTGGACGCCGTTAAAATGTTATAACATCCATACGTTAATATTACAGTTTTAATGATCATGATAATGCATATCATCCTACACAAACCGTTCCGACGCAGTAATTCGCTATACAAAACTTATTCAGGATTTAACCGGACAAAATTGACCGTTTTTTTTTTTTTTTTCAGTGTAAAATATACAATTGTAAGATTCTCAATTGTTACAAGATGAATTATAAGGGAATTGTATTTTTATATTATTTCTAACAAATGATGTTTTCAGATGAACGAGTTGGTAATCTGACAGTTGTAGCATCGGATCCATTGGTACTAGCAAGTATTAAATCACAGATGTCATTGGTTATTCGATCTAATTGGTCTAATCCTCCCAGTCATGGGGCAAGAATTGTGCACATGATATTAACTTCGCCAAGTATGTGCGCTCAGTGGCATGATGCTATAAAGGTTAGTTATTTGTTACTAATTTTTGTTGTTGCAGGTATGGTGGATCTGAATGAATAGGCATTAAAAGATGGGTTGTTCATGGATTAATGGACAGCTATACAGTAATGAAAATGAAACTGGAATTTTAAAAGTGATGCCATTGTCATCTTTGTATTAAAAAGGATATCTATCTTATCCAGATGGAAGTTGCGATCGTAAGCATGTTTATATCTCGAACTAAAAGAATGGATAAGTATCACATCCTCTCCTACCTACTAGCAGGTTGTTTGTGGTAATTGAAGTCTTATGGGTCTAGAGTATGATCTCGCTACTTAGTGATGAGTGGTAATATCGTAATTATACTATTTTTCTAGACGATGTCTTCGCGCATAAAGGATATGCGATATGCATTGCGAAACAATCTGGAAAAACTTGGTACTCCTGGAACATGGGAGCATATTACACAGCAAATTGGAATGTTTTCATTTATTGGTCTTAATAGTGCGTTTATCTTTGTATATAAATGGATAAGGACATATGGAAATGATGAATATTTGGGCAAAAGAGGGAAAAGGGAAAAAGGGGCCAGCGAGAACTTTGTGTTTCATTCTTGAAGCCAGTACATGGAATTAGGATATGGCTGTCATGAGGAAGTAAAAAAGTACACAAAATGTATCTTATTGTTTCTGATTTTCCAGCGGAACAAGTTGATCACCTTATCAAGAAGTATAAAGTGTTTCTGCTGAAGAATGGACGAATAAATGTTTGTGGATTAAATCCAGAAAATGTTGAATACGTTGCGAAAGCAATCAATGAAACTATCAATAACATAAAATAAATGGGACGCTAAATTTTGTGATTTACAGTAAAGTTCTTTGTTAAGTGGGTTAAAGAATAAAGTTACAGATACAAGATTGCAAATAGTCGCATAAAGTGTATATATTTCCGATTATCGCCTAATTTCCAAAAAAAAAAAAAAATGATATATTTTTTACTTTACAATAAGCTTATCCATATTGTGTATACCAGAAATTGGCGCTGTCTTTTTCGGTGATTTTCAGTTTTTCTTTTCGTACAGTGTTTTCCAGTTTAATCTTTGTAACTGTTTCGTTTTACAAATCTTGTTAATCGGCAGTGCTCGCTATGTATAAACAAAAAAAAAAAAAAACCTATGGTTATTTTAAAAAGAGAAAGATGGACTAAACAACTGAAAGTAAGGACATTTGGATAGACTTAATGGTTTTGTATAATCTGTCAACGTCATAGTAAAAAGTATCAGTTTTCTTTGGAGGAAGGAAGTATGCTGAACAATCTAACTCTTGTGAATATTTACATTATTGCATATGAGAAATGTCTGTGACGTATAATGGAATTTCAGTAGCTTAATACAGATAAAATTTAAAGTCGTTAAAATGCTAGACGACCAGTTGCGAGCCGGAAAGCTATCCAGTCGCTTATATCAAGTATTGTCGTGTAGAGAGGTGTGCTGAATGAACAACAGTTTCAACTCCTTCTGTAGAGTTAAACCTGATTCGAGATAATTTGCTAGTATCGCAAGTTCTGGAATAGACTGGAGAGAAAAGTGCTGAGCTTTTCCCGAAGAAATTTCTGTCTCTGCTCATTATAACTATTTCTGGAAATTTTAACAAAATGATCCACGACTAGACTTTACAACAGTTTACTATTGGGAGATAACATTATAGCCACTAGCAATTTCAATGAAATTTGAGAGGAAGGAAAAGATTCAAACGAACGAACAAATCGCGATGGAGCAAACAGTAGTTGGTGAGATGACAAGAACGATCAAGAATAGTTAGTTGATCAAGCAATAAGGATCAATGAGATGTGAGTGTGAGTGTCCGAGTAGTGTGCCGTCTGACATCTGTTTTCATTAGCAGAACAATTTCAGTGCAAAATAACCGAATATAAAATAATAAGTATACCCATAGAAAGTATTTATTAGAAACTGAAGCTGGGTAAATTTGTTTGATGTTTAAGCATGCAATCTTATTTGTTCAGCAAACATAGGTGGTTCAGAAAAAAGAAAATGGTATGTCAACAAGCACCTGGTCCGACTATCGGTAAAAGAACTATCTTCACACTACTCTTGCCAGCAATTAACGCCTGAACATATTCTAGATCTTCACCTTTAACCAGTTCGTCTTCCACATAGATAATCTCATCACCCACCGATAGTACCGATGTCAATGAAGGTAATGATACTCGGGAAACGAAGATTCCTGAAAAAACTCGAGATTTGTGGACAGATCTGAACTTTCAGTAACGATATTGGCTGTTCGGGTTTTACTGGATTAGCTTTCTGTTCTTTAAAGTTTTCTTTATACCAGCTGTGAAACATGCTTTTAAAATCAACAAGTTAACAATCTTCTAGTATTTGACTAGAGGATTTAACTAGAGGGATTATTGGTGTACCGCAGTGATTGGGACTCAATTAGATTAATCTTCGGAACTTGCGGGTTCTAGAAAATATTCCGCACTGAAGAAAAAACATACCATGTTTTTGGTTAAATATTCCAGTAGCGATATAAAAACCGAATGGACCTGGCTGAAGCTTTTCAATTAGGACAATTCGCAAGCCTCTGTGATCGAGAGCAATTAACTGGGCTCGAACAGTCGGTAAATGTGACCTGCAGGATAAGAGAGATTGATGGTCTATATTTATTTTCGAGCACTTACCGTGATATTCAAATTAGCCATCAAACTTACTACTTTCTTAAACTACATGTTCTGGTGCTTAGTCAGAAGCACTTACGAGAGGTCATTCATGAAAAAAAAAAACTAAGCAAAAAGATGAAAATACCGATGAAATAAAGGAACGCAGCTATTCATATAGCTGTTGGCCATTTTAGAATCGAATGCGCAATACGCCCGACCAACACTCTGTGAACGACCGCTAACTCTTCGTACCCTCCTGTAATGCTGAAGTTCACTTCACTTCATTTTCGAGAAATTTTCAGAGTTCATCTCCGAAACATTTTCCAGCTCAGAAGGCCTAAGAATTCGTTGGATTCCTTCAGCATCTTCGGGATCTCAGCTTTTATTTAGAACTTCACTATTTCCCTGTTATCGAGGAACATTTTTAACCTGGTCCAGTTATGAAGAAAGTGGAAGATTTGGTTTGTGCATGCCAATTCCTACAAAATTTAAGAAGTGAAATGCAAACCTTTGTCTATCAAAGATAGGCTGCTGCTGAGTAGCTCCATCATACACAGTGCAATCGAGCGACAAATCCGGAAGGCGACATCCGCTGCTCAAGCGCGTGCCATCCGTAACCGAATCATGACCTCCCTCCATAACACTAAGATTATCAACGCTACGCATCAGGTAAGAATTATTAATGGTAGCTTCATCTTTTGGCTGCAACAAAAACAACCTTATGTAAACAACTGTGTTTCAGTTCAATTTCGGAATCAAAGCTGTCATCTGATACGGATCTTACTAAGAAGAAGGATGTAATACGAAGACAAAAAAATGAATCTCTTAACTTTATTTTCTTCAACTATCAACCAATACTCATGTTGCCCTCTATCCTTTCACCCACTCCGCTTGAGTTACTCCTTTGCTACCTGAGCTACTCCTTTTGTTAGCAGTAGTTGACAGGTCAGCTCAATTAATTCAGTCTCAATTGCATCCCATATTAACTAATTAACTGGCTCGCCCAAACTTGAAATGGCCCAGGTATTCAATAAAATCAATGGATTGTCCGAAAAGTCCTTGTACAATACGTATTTTCTTATGATACAATTGAACATTCTTGGTGTGTTAACAATGAGAAATACTAATTCATTTATTTTATTCTATCTTTTTCTAATGCTGCATTTCCCGATTTATTGCATTAGAAAATAATTTCAGACCACTTGAAATTCCGAAATTATATCTTGCCATCATTGCTTTAGCAACTGTCGGATAGTGCCCAATTAGCAAAACAAATTTACAGTATGTTGTCTGAGTATTTAATGTGAGCCAAATCAATTGACGAAATTGTTAAATAATCATCTTCAACCTGATGCAAAGTAATCTCGATGACTACTTTTGCCAATCATTATTTAACTCATCACCTTATATGATGAGTAGCTTTGGGGTGGATAACACCAGTCAATGGATCCACGGCGCATCTCTAGAGCCGACGATTCACAATGCATACCACGCGGTAATGATGCCGAACGATTACGGAAACGTCGCATTATTCGATAAGATGGTTCCTGAAAGAAAGTTTAAGGGGCGAAGGAGATTCTAACACACTGTGCTTTCTATAATTTAAATTCTTTGCTTAAAAAGAGCTCCAAATAAAATGCTATTGCAGTGCAACGTTTTTTGTTATTTGCAAAAAAAAAAAAATGCTATTTGTAGCCCAGCAATTTCATTTGAAAAGCTATTTGGTGTCACTTACATTGGAGATGTCAACTCAGTCAATGCAAATGTTGCAAGAGAATTCATGGCTATATGTGCTTGAGAATAGACATAAATATTTTCATACTTCCTATAACTTTGCTAAATGTCGCAGCTTTAACTATTCAGGATTGATATGTCACATGTTTCTTTATTTAATTATCTGTTCAAAACAAGCAACGATTTCAAAAGGAAATGTTGCTGTTAGAAGTAGTTTCAAAAAACTACTTTCATTAAGAATTATTTTAGGGCAAGATTCAAAATGATACGTTTGGATGAGTGATGCACTGGTCATCATTACGTATAAGTCTTGTCATGGGCGCAGAATAGCCCGGCAAAGTTCGATCGTCCTCGTCATGACTCGACTGCAAGTGGCTACTGTAACCTGCAAACATATTAGACGGTACCGTACACTAGTCATGTGGTATTTTCTCTCTCTCGTACTGAAAAACTCAAGTACTGAAATTACTAAAATAAATCGAGTGCTGTCTCCTTTTGAAATTTCTTGAAACACATAAGGGGATATCCAGACAATGTGACACTTATGTTAGATATCAACAATATTTCCGGTAAATTCGAAAGTGACTGAATCCGGATTCTATTTGCGAATTTAGTTTAGTGCATTTATTTGTTTCTGTCCTTGACATAATTTGATAAAAATGAGAAAAATCTGGTTCGATTTCGGATCAAAAAATTTGAACCCAAGCATTCATATCATTTAACAAATTTTACTACTTCAAATGAATACCGAAGTTGAATTGGTAGTCGATGGCATGATGTTGGCCTGAAAGCTTATTGATGGTACCACTGTTGCTCCTGCTAACGACTGCGGGTAGTACCAGATCAGGATTATTCGAAGACACTGGTGATGTCAGTGTCGCTGTCTCCATGCTCGGATAATGAAGAGAACAGCCGGAATAATTAGCGCAACTATTAACAGATACCAGGTTGATATTATCGAAGCCGGATGAAGAGGACAAGGAACTACCATCCATTGATAACACCTTCCAGTAATAATTATAATGAAGATAATTAGTAAACAAATCGCTTCAATTCCTGAGCATAAATTTGGACTAAGGACCTGAAGACACTGAAATCTCGAAACTTTGGTCCTGAACACAGTTACATACAGCATGGACAGTGCTAGTTATGTGTCTTCGTCTTCAAGTTGTGTTCTTCATTCGCTCTTTAATCTTTGAAACAAGTCCTTCCCCATTTCTCTACTTCTGAGTCATATCTCGACCTAATTCGCAACTTTGTTAGGAAGTCTTCTGTAAAATTTATTTCCGCTATATTTCGAGTTGAGACAGCTACACCGTAATTTTTGTAATAGCTAAATTTGAATCGGAACAAAGAATAATCGAGGACTGCAGGTACCTGATCTGCAAATCGAACTCGGTGTTGTTTTCCGTTCCTTGATGTTTGGCTATTGCGGTTCGTTTGCAGTCTTTCCGGTAAACATTTTTGGTACGGGAGTGCAGATAAATTTGTGTGCACTCCCCTAAAAAACAATTAGATTTAATTAATCCGATATATGCCAAAACACATGTTCCTCCTACAAATATTGCTTGGACAAATCTACGAGAGAGAGAATTTGTTATGAGAAATGTGAATAGTAGTGACAGTATGAATGACATTATCATATGTCCTTGTCCAGCTACAAACAAAACTGTTCAATTAGTAGTAGCACTGGTGGCAAGGAGGAATGCAAAATAAAATAATGATTTCCTCATCCGTCAACGCAATACCGACAGGGCAACTAAACTGATCGATCGCCCGGTATTCTTTCAAAAGCCATTTTAATAGCAATACCAACAAATAGTGATGGTGACCGGAAGTAACAGTCTCACTGAGAAATTACTCTGATAAAGAGATATTTCTCTTGACCACTTCTTTAGTTTATTAGCTTTACTATTTGATTTAATTCTAACGATAACTCCTTCCCTTCATCTCCAATATCTTTGTTTTCATTACATTATTCATTTGTTGCTTTTCTTTCCAATACTTTAAAATCTTCCACACGTCAAACAATGAAAGTTTTCCCATTCGGAAGTTTATAAAAATCAAAGTATTAGTCATAAGCGGTTATTTTCTTATAAAATTATGACTTATCGAGAGTCTAATGGAGTAGTAAATTTCATGAGCCAAATGATTTAGCAAATAGATACAGTCACAACTTCACACATTTGCGCACAAGTAGATCATACCACGCAGTTTTTGGTGTTAAATACTCGCGATACACGGGCATATCAAATTTACGTTGTAGCTTTTTTGATTTATTATCAAAAAACCCTGAATCGATATGCCGTGGTGATAATTGATTGTCCGAGTCGGCGCATATACCTGAATCCGTATCACTATCTCCTGGCTGCGGAGGTAATTGGCCACCACCTATAAATCATTTTGCCAAAGGTAATTTATATTAATTTATAGTGATGTTAATTTGTATTGCAATTTCACTACATTAATGCCTGTGAATTAGTATTCCATCGCAAGATGCAAACAGTTTTTCTGCTTCCTGTTAGAGCTGAACTTTTCCTGAGCGAATCGAATGTAAACCTAGGCCATCTTAACTATTCATCTAATTTACGTTTCAGCAACATCACTATACTAATTTACGTTTCTAATTTACGTTCAATTTACGTTTCGGAGTACCATCTCTTTTCTATTCAAGAAATCAATGCGGTAAAGATTCAATGATCATAGATGATTCATTCAATCAAGAAACTGACGCACATTTTAAATGCATTCAACCGTCCAAAATGACACTGAAATTCATTCTCAAATTTGTTGCAATTGTTCGACAAATATTCCTCAACTATGGAAAAACGAGGCAGAATGTAGTAGGAAGGAAAGTAGGAGAGGGCAAAAGAAGAGGGAGAGACAGAATGATGAAATTAAATGAACGGAACGGATACGACTGGAAAAGGAGACTGAATGAAAAGAAGCCTAAGAGACGAAACAACCCTCACACCGATCCTTTTCTCCTGTTCGTATCTTAATTCTTGATACCATTACCTGATGCTACATGTCATTGTTTGTCTTACTCTTTTGCTTGTGGAAGTATCATTTCTATCAATCCATAGTAGGATAAATTGAAGCCCTGTTTTCCGGATCAACACCATCAGCTTCATTTTGTTATGATATTTAACTAACTAAAAGCGTTTCCATAGCTATCAAATTGAGTGCCATCTTCCAGTTCATATTTTTATATGTTTCTCAGTCTAAAATGGATCTCCTACGACTTTCAGGTGATTAGATGACGGAGAGAGAATGTTTGTTAGCAATAGCAATAAACAAGTACGCGACAATTTAGGGTAAGTTCTGAAGTCTAACATTACCAGCAATGCTTCTTGAAAGACCGTGTCGGTACTGCAACTGATTCATCCTTGGTTTTGGTGGTGGATTTGGCGGTACTTTCATCATTATTGCTGTGGGATTTTGCATACTGTCTAAAATATTGTTTAAATCTGAGCGAATAAGTATATTTAGATTTTATGGGTTTTAAAAACGATTGAAATGATATGCATCATTTCTCGACAAATAAGAATTAATTAACTAATTAAGATTCTCTGCAGTCATCAAAACAGCGCCTTAGCAATTAAAAATTTTATCAAAACTTGAAATCTCACAAAATTTCTAAGAAATATGAGGAAAGGATATAAGTAGAAAGCTATAAGTAAACGAACATATTAAAGTTGTTTCCAACTAGCTGTAATATGCCCTTTTGCTTATGCTAAATTCTATCAATCCTGTTAATATTACCAAATCCAGTCAAGATCAGTCTCTCAGAAGCGACTTGAGATTGGAACACATAACTTCACTATGTATATCTGTTTTTGTTAAAGGAACGGAATTTAAAAATGAAGATATTTTACGATTTCAGGGGCAAGTCGCTTTTATTTCGATCGCGACGTACGTTCCGTTAGGGCGACAAATGATTACGTTAATAATTAAAAGTTTTTACACCTGTTGGTTTGGATTTCCAGAGTTGGATTCTAAGATGAGAATCCTATACCTTTGTTAGTAACATGAAGCTAGAAGAAGCAAACAAAATCAACAAAGTATCAAAATTTTGCGAAAATATTTCCCATACTATCCTGATGTAAGGGGTCAGAGAAGTAGAAATGAATTTGGAATCATTTAGTTCGGCCATTATTAATGATACAATTAAATGGAAACTTTAATGGAAATGAGGAAGAAGTATAGAGAGAAGGAACATTAAAAGTAGTACAACTCTCTGTTTACAATACTTGGGATTCACTATTTGAATATCAATCTTTGCTAAGACTTTTCTGTCATCCTTTCTATTTCCGAAGCTATTTCAAAAACGATTCATTTTAATTCACTAACCGCCGTTCATAAACCTAAGCCATGCTACCAAATAAAGTTCTAAAATTTATGTATTTTAAAATTCTGTCCGTCTTTCTTTTTTATATGTTTGTTTAAGAAGTAAATATTCGAGAACTAATAGTATCGGAACGGTTTTTTCAATTATGATATAGGTTTCGCGAAAGTAACATACTATTGTGACAAGGTGCAGGAATTATACAGATGATAAGGGGCAGAAATTATACAGCGAGATTGCCTAGATTTCATATCATGGAATCTCGGAAACAGCAGAAGAATTCTGATTTGAAAATCATTTTTGAATTCTTTTGGCAACAACCTTTTCTCAATTTTTTTTTTTTTTTTTTGTTTGTCTAATACATTTGATGAGAGCATATTCTGAACTTTCAATCTGAAAAGACTGCAAATGATCCAATTTCAAGTACATATACAAACTAATTCACTTTTCATGACAATGACTAATTAATTTAAGCGCTGATCTGATTTAACTGAGATAAATGAGATTCACTTAGTGTAGATTATAAAGTATATCTTATAGAAGTCAAGGTATCAGTTGGCAGAAAGGACGAAAAGAAAAGCCTTTATGTTTGTAAAAGTATTTAAATTATATATGAGAACAAAGTTATCGATTTGAGCTTTGATTTTACAAAAAGTGCCCACAAATCTGGTTGCTTCCATTTTCTAATTATTAGTTTTAAGAAGAAACTTCAAGCATTATTTGTCAAATCACTTGTTAGATGAAATAAACCGAATGAGCTGGCATTGTGGATGATGGATGAATAAACAGAACAGAATGATAATGTGAAATTACTTCCGGAAACACATTTCCGGTTGTATTTCTCACATGAAACCACTTTGCTTGAATAGCATCAAACTTCCAATAAAGAAACAACTGTAGAACCAACAACTGAAGACAAAAAATCTTAGATTTTGTGTCATTAATGAATAAATGTTCAATTGCAGTTGATGTGTACAATTGCGATAATATAACGAAGTGATCGGAAGCCCGCACTTAACCAATTAATTCACAATTTTAACACATCTAATTAATATGGATTAATTATTGCTCTTCTTTGTTGTTACTGCTCAGAGCACTGAAAGAAAGAACTTTGACGGCCTTTCTATGTGCCAACAATTTCATCGAAGAGAAAATAGCATCAAACATATTGGCTGCGCTCTTTCAAAATAGCTATTATTGGTTGAATCGCCGTCCCAAGTCATTTCAATTGGTTATTCCGATTGTTTGATTATTTTTATGGTTACAAGATAATACTACAATTTCACGATTTGAGCTCTTTTATCATTTTTATTTATTATTTAAAAAACTCCTTACTGTTTAACTCCACTAACTCATAGTATCCGAATTTATGGAAAGTAATAATAATAAGCTTGAAGCGAGAATAGTGCTACGAGGGATGATGCCATCTCTGAATATATGTTATGTTACTCCAATTCAAACCTGAAGTTTCCATTGGACAAGTATGCAGTGACAGGAGCAACCGGAAGGAGCGGAAAAAAACATGTATGGGACATGTCACCTTCTGCACCACCAAATATAATACCAGCCATCAATATCACCAGAACACATTATGAATAGAATAGAATAGAAAGATGCTGCTGTCTTGAAAGAGAAAATTGCGTGCCCACTCCTTCTTCACAATATTCTTATTTTGAACATTTAAGCGCAAACTTCCGCAAGTTGCTTTGTCGGCACTTTTGCAACTTTACTTTCCGTTGAAACATTAAATATTAACGAAAGTCAATTTGCGAAATGGTCAACAATCTCATTGGCAGTGTCTATTGAGATAGTGATAAGGAATGCACAGAGAGATAAGGCTAAGTAATGAAAGAAGAACTCTCAGCCGTAAGTGTAAGTGGTTGTACAGAAATTCTTGTGTCATCCTTGATTGTTTCTAGGATTGTGGTAGTGAATTACCATTTTCTTTTCAGGTTCTTTCTGTGACGTCTTCTGTCTTCCCTCAATTCTGGATGATTAGTATTTGGGATTAAAAGTACATAGTATTTCTTTATGATTTTCAAAAACTAAAAATATAAACAGAAATCAGAAGTTAACATAATATGAACGACATAATTTGGTGGAAGCAAACAAAGGGAAGAAAATTAATCGCTGAAAATCGAATTGATAAGAGAGAGGAGAAGATCAATTCTCTTAAAATAATTCGTCTGCCAAGATAAATCGTTTCCCGAAATCTTAATCGGTATTCACTTGCTCAGTAAATACCTGTTTGGATTTGAAGGCATATAATTCTCAAATTTTAAATAAGTTCTTAAACTGCTTATTTATTTAGGAAGTAATGATTGGCAAATAATTTGTTTGTATGAGGAAAGAAAGCAGCAAAACAGAAAACTGATAGTCAATCAATTTGGAACATTTCATATGCTACAAACTTTGAATGAGTTTGGGAAAAGTAAGATAAGAGTAGAACGAAATGAAAATGAAAGCAAAGAAAAGCTTAGTTGCAAGACTGATGGATTTAAGGGAGTAATAGAAATAAACAAAAAATAAGTAACGGCAACGTGAAGGCAGAATTGAAAGACATTCTTCAAAGTTCAAATCCATTACAAATTGATGGAAGGAAGAGGAATTGATTTTGACTGGATTAAACTTACTTGAATTGAATTAATTGAAGATAAATGCAAACTTGAATCGGACCGAAAAGAAGTTCAGTTGATTTGATAAGACTAAATTAAATAACCCGTTATATACAGTTATTTATTAATAAATAATATACATTCATCTCAACACCATTTCAGAATACCTAACGCAGTTTTATTTATGCTATAGAGTTACTAATTGTTGTATTAATTTCAGGATTAACTTCAAGAAGATACGTTAAAATTCTGTTTTGTAAGATGTTCAATGCATTGCACACTGGATTAAATAATTCCGCAATTCTGCCCCTCGAATTGTTCGTTTTATAGTAAATTTTGCTACCCTAATTGTTTCCACGATCAAGGCCATAATCAAAAATGAATAAAGATGAGGTGACTGATATTTTGATTTGAATTTCTAGAATAATTACTTTGAAAAATCTTCATTCCATATACCTCCAGTTTTGGACGTTAGTTGAACGTAGGGAACTTCTGCATTCCTGACCCATTTTAATCTGATCCACTGTATCAGCCCTTTTAGATGACTATTTTTTTCTTTCTCCACTTTCCGACCTCTAATTATTGCAGTCCCTTCAAGCTACGATAACAGATAAATTAGCCTGAAAAATTCTTTTCCAAAGTTACTGCAACTAGACTGAAAATTGGTCTATTAGCGCAGGTCATGGACCACACTCCAGCTTCTTTCGTCGGGAGAAGTTCATATGTGAAGCACAAACAATGAAATCAAATGTAGTGTTACAATAAGCCGCAGAGTGTGAACAGATGTGATCATCGTCACACGAAATATTGTTCTCATGAGGCTTGGTCACTAGCTATCGAAATGAGGATTCATTTGAGGAATGAGTCATTTCTGCTAATATCATCTCATCTGACACTTAATTTTTATGCTAAAATATCTGTGAGTGCTGTCATTCCTTGCTAAAGATAAAAACGATTTGATTTTAAATCAGTTTTAATTTGTGTGATAATGGCAGATTCAGTTCCGTGTGGTGACCTTTTCATTAATTCGATATGATTTGATCCTCCAAATAATTCCATGAAAGAAGATAAGTGAATATATGAAGGATGACGGAGTGTAAATGAATCAGCAGAACTGATTGCCCAAAAAGTTAATTTTCAAAAGAATGGCAATTGAAAAAAGGCTATAATGCTACTTCTGCCGTAACCAGCCGATCTACCCATATTTCATTTACCAGTCAAAATGTTCGCGTATTATAGTAACTCAGTTCAAATTTTAAATAAATTATTGAAATGCAGTAAGAATGGATGGTGACTCGATGAGGAAAAAATGGTAAAAAGAAATGGAGGTCGGTCACAGTACAATCAAAGAAAAAGGTCGTTATAAGAAAGATAAATGGATGGAATATTTTAATCTCTAATTGTAAATCATTCGTTCATTCCAAATGTAAATAATATGTGTGACCTCAAAATGAACTAAATTCATCAACTTTATCGAAATAGAA